TTTTTTTTTTTCTGTCCTTTTTGAGACCGGCCGCACCACACTCAGCCAGTGAGCACTGTGAGTGCACTGGTCATCCCTATATAGGATCCGAACCCGTGGCAGGAGCGCTGCTGCGCTCCCAGCGCTGCACTCTCCCGAGTGTGCCACGGGCTCGGCCTGAAACTAGCCTCTATTTTTTTTTTTTTTCTGTCCTTTTTGAGACCGGCCGCACCACACTCAGCCAGTGAGCACTGTGAGTGCACTGGTCATCCCTATATAGGATCCGAACCCGTGGCAGGAGCGCTGCTGCGCTCCCAGCGCTGCACTCTCCCGAGTGTGCCACGGGCTCGGCCTGAAACTAGCCTCTATTAAAGTTAGTTCTCACTAATTTGTCTTCTCCAAATAGTATTTTGTTGTTCAAAATAAGAGAGAGATTGTGCTGTAACATTTATTCTCTAATTCAACAAATGTTTATTGAGTAACAACTATGTGATAGGCACTGTTTTAGGTGGTGGGGATATATAGTAGTGAACAAAGAAACTTCCCACCTTCATGGAGCTTATGTTATTGTGAGGTATACAGACTATTTATGTACCTATCTATTGATTAAATGATTGTCAGGTAAACACTAGAAAGAAAAATAAGACAGGGTCAGAGAGGAAGAAATGAGAGAGGAACTATTTTAGGTATGGTGTTCAGGCAGTGCCTCTTTGAGGAGATAATATTTGTGAGAGACCTGAATGAAATGATGGAGTGAAATTATCTGGGGAAAGAGTGTTCTTGGAAAGTAAAAAGTGAAAGACACTGAGGTGGGGGAGCATACTTAGCATGTTGGAGGAACATTAAGAAGGTGGGTATGGCTGGAGCTAAATAGAAAGGGAAAGGAGTAGGAAATTCTTTGAATAGCTTGCTAGTAAAGGCCTTTTGATCATTAAATGCAATAACTGATGTCAGTTGACACGGTGACCTTACCACAGGCCTTTACTAAATTCAATGAAGAATGGTTCTATTATATATATATATGTATATTTAAGAGAGGCTTACAGTCTTCAGTGGACATTATTCATTAAGCCATTTATATTGTGTGGTAAAGTATTATATGGTAGAATTGTCAAGATGGTTATGTTTGTTTGGAACTGCAATCTGCTCCAAGTTGGCTTAAGTACAAAGTGCATAGCCACCTCTCCAGATTTAGAGATCTCAGATAAAAAGATTCATTGGTGTTCACAGGTGAACAAATATTACTAACTAATAGTAAAGTGGAAGAACCAGCTTAGGACTGGAGGGGCCTAATGAGAGAAAAACGATGTTTGATTAATATAACAAAGATAGGGGGCCGGCCCGGTGGCGCACTGGAGAGTGTGCCACTTGGGAGTGTGGCGGCGCTCCCGCCGAGGGTTCGGATCCCATGTGGAGACCGGTTCCCGCTCACTGGCTGAGTGCGGTGTGGGTGCAACACCGAGGGTTGCGATCCCGTTGCCGGTCCCCGGTATGGGCGCGACACCGAGGGTTGCGATCCTGTTACCGGTCAGTAAAAAAGACAAAAAGGAATAAAAAAAAAAAAGATAGGGCTGACCCTGTGGCACACTTGGGAGAGTGTGGCGCTGGGAGCGCAGCGACGCTCCCGCCGTGGGTTCGGATCCTATATAGGAATGGCCGGTGCGCTCACTGGCTGAGCGTGGTGCGGACGACACCACACCAAGGGTTGCGATCCCCTTACCGGTCACGAAAAAGACAAAATAAATATATATATATATATATAACAAAGATAGATGTAATGAATCTGTGGTTCAAGACATTGGCCACTTGCTTGTGTGAGTAGGCAAATTCTATATTAAACCTAATTTTACAGATAAATTGAACTTTATAGTAAAATTTGCCTAGGGAGCAAGCAAGAAACAAATAGAATAAAAGAATCAGGATATAATAGAAAGACTTGAATTCCAGATCAGAAAAAAATTATTATCCTGGCTCTGTTTTATTAAAATATAATGAATATCCAATATAAGAAAGAAAGAAAGGGGGCTGGCTGGTTAGTTCACTTGGTAGAGCATGGTGCTGATAACACCAAAGTTAAGGTTTCGAATCCCCATACCAGCCAGTTGCCCCCCAAAAAAGGAAAGAAAAGTAGGAAATGAAATCAGAAAAGAAGCCAGGGACATAGAGGGTCTTGTAATCTATGATAAGGATTTGGAGATGTTGAGCAGGAGAGTAGGGTAGTTGATGTGATTCATGTTTTTTTTTTTTTTTAATAAAAGATGACCAGTAAGGGGATCTTAACCCTTGACTTTGTGTTGTTAACACCTCGCTCTCCCAAGTGAATTAACCAGCCATCCCATGAGATCCGAACCTGTGGCCTTGGTGTTATCAGCACCACACTCTCCCAAGTGAGCAATGGGCCGGCCCTGTGACTCATGTTTTAAAAGGTAATAGGATGTGTAAGGAATACATCATAGAGGGATAAGGGAGGATGCAAGAGCATCAAGTTAGTCAGATGGATTTTAGACTTTAACTGTAATCTAAAATAAAGAATATATTTTATATAGTGACCCAGTACATATATTCATTTATGTGTATATTTACAACTGAAACCACACAATCGTATTTGCCCTTATGAAATGTAATGTGCTCTGATATTTTCCATTCTTAACTATTATCTTGTATTTCATCAATAAAAAAGGTAGTTTGCAACTCATATTGATTTCATGACTCATTAATGGGTTTCACACTCATGGTGTGAAAAATATTGAGTTGATTCAGCAGGAGAAAGCATTCTTGTACAACGAGAATCTTTGTAGAGACTCATATGACTTCCTCTTTTTTTGAGAAATAGTCTGGGAGAAATCTTAACCTCATAATTGGGCATTTATGGTACTTTGAATAATTGATAGCCTTTTCTTTGAACTAGTTAGAAATAGAAATGACATTAAATATTCCATTCATAGTGACAAGCTACAAAATACCTAGCAAGAAATTTAACAAATAAGATATAAGACATCTTTTGAAAAAAGCACGATATATTTGAAGATACAAAATAAGTTTTGAATAAATGGAGAGATATACCAATGTTTTTTAATGGAAAGACTTGGTATCATAAAAATATCAACCAATGCAAAATTAATATGTAAATACAGTGTAATTCCAGTCAACATTTCAATATTTTTTTGAGAGACACTTCATGAAGTAGTCTTATGTTTTTGTGTCTATAATTTTTCATAATAAAAAGACTTATTAAAAATATATCATACTTATCTCTCTGTAGCTTCCTTTTTTCTCTTCATATTCTTTTTGTAATTTATCTTTATTTATAGATGCACATTTAGTTTATTCATTTTATTGGTAATTAGTCTGTTGTGTGACTAATCCACAATTTATTCAGTCCCTTGTTGGTGGATATTTAATTGATTCCAACTTTTTTTTTTTTTTTTTCCCTTTTTGTCTTTTTTACTGACCGGTAATGGGATCGCAACCCTCAGTGTCGCGCTCGTACTGGGGACCGGCAACAGGATTGCAGCCCTCGGTGTTGCGCCCGCACCTCGCTCAGCCAGTGAGCGGGAACCGGTCTCCACGTGGGATCCGAACCCTTGGTGGGAGCGCCGCCGCGCTCCCAAGCGGCGCACTATCCAGTGCGCCACCGGGCCGGCCCCCAACTTTTTAATATTATAAACAATGCTGCAGTTAATACATTTGGATCTATTTCTCTTGTCCTGGAAGGATGTCTATATTGTTTTGTAAAGCAATGTATATAGACTAACTCCCTCCCCCAACTTTTATACACCACACACACACACACACACACACACACACACACACACACACACAAGTTTATGTATATATGCTTTTGTAACCTCCCAACCTACCTCTCTGTGAATATACACATGCTTATACAAGGGTACTTCAACAAGCTCATGGAAAAATGGAATTAGAAGATAATATGAATCTTTTCATGAACTTTCTGAAGTACCCTCATATATGTTTGTGGAAGGATACAAATTAGGCTGATGACATTGGTTGCATGGATTGAAGAGGTATATTTAGAAGATAAATATTTTCTTTTTATATCTTTTAAATGTAAAAAGTCTAAGGAAATGAAAAGTTTGTATAAGTGCTATACATATATATATATACATTTAACGTTCATCTTATTTCCTTTTATTGTCTAATTTTATGGACAGAAATGCTGTATGTTACTGAGTAGAAGTGGTGATTCTAGGGATTTTTTTTTTTTAAACAGCCATTTGAGATATAACAGCTCTTTCATTTACATACCATATAATTTACTCATTTGAAGTGTACAATTCAGTGGATTTTATTGTACACACAGGGTTTTGCAACCATCATTATCAATTTCAGAATTTGTTTCACTCCAGAAAGTAACCCCATTCCTATTAGCAGTCAATCCTCACTCATTCCTCCGCCAACCCATGTAACCATGAATAATGCTGCTCTGAACATTGATTTACAAATTTTAGTGTAGACTAGGAGTGGAATTGATGGATCATATGATAACTATGTTTAACATTTTGGGGAACTGTCAGAGTGTTTTCCAACATGGTTGCACCATTTTACATTTCCAGTAACAATGTATGAGGGTTCCAGTTTCTCCATATCCTTGTCAACACTTATTATTGTCCATCTTTTTTATTTTAACCATCCTAGTGTGTGAGTGGTATCTCATTGTAGTTCTGATTTGCATTTCTCTAATGACTAATGATATTGAGTGTCTTTGCATGTGCTTATTAGCTATTTGTGTATCTTCTTTGGAAATATATTTGAATGTCTACTTAAATCCTTAGTTTATTTTTAAATTTGGTTATTTGTCTTTTATTGCTGAGTGTAAGAGTACCATATGTTTTACTATATATTTTTAAATTGACACATTGTAATTGTACAAGTTTATCGGATATAATTTGATGTTTCAATGAATATATGTTGTATAATGATCAAATCTGTTTTACTGTATTTTTTAAAGTATTTCTATATATGTTTGCAAGACTAATTTTTCCTACTCTTATTGGAAGGTCCTGTCCAAAATGCACAGATTTCTTCACAAGTGTCAGTGAGCCAAGGATATAATTCCCAGCTTCCAGGATCCTACCCTCATTTAATACCAGCAAAGACTTTGAATCCAGTTTCTGGACAGACTAACTATGGTGGTTCTCAGGGATCTGAGCAGACTCTTAGTAGACCACCTGTGGCTTCTAATCTGGTGACATCTTCAGTCTACAGTGGTCCTGTTCCCCAAATGCCACTACCTGCTTCTCAGAACCCAGTTGCTGCAACAATGCCTTCTGGTAGCTTTCTTCCTGGAGCCAACCTACCACCACCTTTGAACTGGCAATATAACTATCCACCCACAGTATCACAGACAAACCATTGTCCTCGTGCAACATCCCAACTAACTGTATCTGGGAATACAAATTTAACAACAAATCATCAATATGTTTCTTCTGGAGATATTTCACTTCAAAACAGCTTCATAAAATCAGGTAGTGTTCTTACAGGAGTGCTTAAAATGTAGAAATGTGAAACTTTTGCTTGTTTAGATGTTTGAATTAATACTTTTTTTTCTTTTTAGAGGCTGCTCAGATTTATTGTCAGTAGAAAAGTGGCTGTACAGATTCGAGGTGCCAGAATGGAGAAAGGGTAGACTGGTTCCCTACATCTGGGGCTCCACCCCTATGTTACAGAGCTCTCAAATTAATACACGAAGCCTTAAAACCATGTAGAAAACTATTGATTTATAAAATGATTGTTAGTCTTTATTTTTAATTTTTTGGAGGCTAGCTGGTAGGGGAGATCTGAACCCTTGACCTTGGATTGTTAGTATTTAAATAAATTACTTCTATAACCTTTGAGTTAATCCTAATAACTTAATCATGGATGCTTCTTTCCTTTGAAAGTATCTCCTCTGTTTCTTTCAGTCACCCATGGTATTTCAGGGATTCAGGTATGCCTGCAGAATCACTTCCTTAGGGACTGGCCATTACTATTATTATTAACTGTGTTTCAACTTACAGTCTAGGGAAACTGAATGTGAACCCCTGTGGTCTCTCTTTGGTCTTGATCTGAGGCTTGGGATATCTTTTTGGCATGGAAGCTGTGCAGGATCCTGGAGGGGCAGGTCAAAACAGACAATGCTTTTGTAGTGAGGAGAATTATTGAACACAGCTGTGGTTAGTGGTCAGTGCAGTGGACAAAGATTTATATGTATATTTTCTTCTAAGAGTTTTATAATGTTAGTCTTTGATCAGTCTTGAGTTTGTGTATGGTGTTAGGTAGAGGTCCAACTTCATTCTTTTGCACGTGGATATACAGTGACCTAGTACTAATTGATGAAAAGAATATTCTTTCTCCCATTGAATAATCTTGGTACCTTTGTTGAAAATCAGTCGATCATAAATTAAGGGTTTATATCTGGGTCCTGAATTTTATTTCATTGATCTATATGTCTATTTTTATGCCAGTACTGAACATCTTGATTACTGTAGCTTTGTAATAACCTTTGAATTTGGGAAATGTGACTCCTTAAACTTTTTTATTTTCAAGATTGTTTTGGCACTCCTCGTTCCCTTGCATTTCCGTAAGAATTTTAGGGTCAGCTTGTCAGTTTTTACAAAGAAAAACAGCTGGGGTTTTGATAGGGATTGTGTTGAATCTGTACATCAGTTTTGGGAGAAAGGTTTATATTCTTGGACTGACTTTGATCATTTTATTTTTTAACCTTAGTGTTTGGTCCTGTCTGGTACAGAAGTAGGTTCATTTAACCATTTCACTTTTCTTTTCCTGCTATTAAATTAGCAGGGTCTTATACATTTTACAACATTAATAGTGTTACTTTGGAAAGTATTTAAAATTCTGTAGTAGGATCCGAAGGTTGATTCTGCTCAGCAGACATCCTCAAGGAAATGAACTAATAAAAAATTCCAAGTGAAATGTAGTATCAATGGTTACCTTTTTAAAACTCATGTATTTCTGTATCTATATATGGCTTACATTCCATTAGGCTTTTGGCTTGTTAACTGCTGAAACTATTAGGCTTTTAGCTTGTTAACTGCTGAAACTGTTAAAAGCCTGGCGAATGCATTTTGGCCTTGTACAGATTAAGCCTGCTTGTAGAAACCTAAGTTTCTTTGTAGAAATCTTCTGACCCACAATTGCTAGAACCAAAATCCTTTAGGTTACTTTTATTGTAATTCATTTGACATCATGTGTGAGCATCACTCACTTGAAATTAATGAATATTCATCTCACTGCTAATAATTATGGGCAACGTTTATCTAGCATTTATTATTTTCTAGCACTCTCCCAAACTTTTTTTTTAACAGACTCAAAATTTATTGAGTACAAAAAAAACATATACAGCACATACAAGACCTCTGTGACATTTGCAGCTTTAACATTCAGTATTTTATTTTATTTTATTTGTTGGCTACAAAACCAGTCTTTATACATTTAAAAAGACTAAGATCATAGAAAACATGTTCTCTGACCACAATAACAGAAGGAAATTTAGAAAATTCACAAATGTGTGGAAATTAAACAACACTCTCCTAAAATAAACAACAGGAAATTAGAGAGTACTTAGAGATGAAAGACAAAGTGCAGCATATCAAAATTTATAGGATGTAGGGCTCATGTAGTGTGTAGAAGAAAATTTATACTTGTAAACACCTATATTAAAAATAAGAAAAATCTCAAATCAGTAGTGTGAACTTGTACCTCAAGAAAATAGAAAAAGAAGAGCAAACTAAACCAAAAGCAAATATAGGTAGAAAATAACAAAGATTGCAACAGAAATATATGAAATAGAGAATTAAAAAATAGAGAAAATCAACAAAACCAAAAGTTTATTCTTTAAAAAGATCAACAAAATTTGCAAACCTTTATACTGATCAAGAAAAAAAAGAGGGAAAACCAAAATTACTAAAATCAGAAATAAAGTAAGGACATTACATTTTCATTATGGTTTTTTGTGGTTGTAAGTTTTAGTTTCTCTCTTTCTCATTTGCATTTTTGTTCTACTATTGGATTTTGTTCTTTCTAGCATATTTGTAGTAGTGATTATTGTTTTTCAGATTCCAGATGCAGGATTTCCTTGAGGATTTCTTGTAGGACTGGTTATGTGGTAGCAAACTCCTACAGTTTTTGTTTGTCTGGAAAATATACTGTTTTCCCCTCATTTCTGAAGGATAGCCTTGCTGGGTATAGTATTCTTGACTGGCAGGTTTTTGGGATTTTTTTTTTAAGAATTTTGAATATATCATCCCAGTTTCTTCTGGCCTGTAGAGTTTCTGTTGAGAAGTCTGCAGTTAGTCTGATAGGGGCTCCCTCATAGGTGACTTGACGCTTTTCTCTTGCCTCTTTTAAGATTCTCTCTTTGTCTTTGAGTTTTTCCAGTTTGACTATAATGTGTCTTGGAGAGGATCTTTTTTTTTTTTTTGTCTTTTTTTGTCTTTTTTTGAGTCCGGCAACGGATCGCAACCCTCAGTGTCGCACCCGTACCGGACCGGGACCGGCAACGGGATCACAACCCTCGGTGTTGCGCCCGCACCTCGATCAGCCAGTGAGCGGGAACCGGTCTGTATGTGGGATCCGAACCCTCGGCGGGAGCGCCGCCGCGCTCCCAAGCGGCGCACTGTAGCAGTGCGCCACTGGGCCGGCCCGGAGAGGATCTTTTTTGGTTGAATCTCTCTGGGGATCTTTGAGCCTCCTGGATCTGAAGGTCCATGTCTCTCCCTATAACTGGGAAGTTTTGCATTGTTACTTCGTTGAATAGGTTTTCTGTGCTTTTTCCTTTCTTCTCCCCTTCTGGAACACCCATAATTCAAATGTTTGTGCGCTTAAGGTTGTCTGCTAGCTCTCTTAGATTTTCTTCATTATTTAAAATTCATTTGTCGACCTGGGTTATTTTGGAAAGACTATCTTCAAGATCAGAAATTCTTCTGCTTGTTCTAGCCTAATGCTTAAGCTATCAGTCATGTTTTTCATTTTGTTGCATGAATCTTTCAGTTCTGTGAGTTCTGCTACATTCTTTTTTAAGGTATTAATCTCTTTGTAAATTTTCTCCTTCATATCCTGGATTTTTTTCTTGTTTCATTATGTTGTCTCACTGAGTCTTCTCTTATCTCAGTGAGTTTCCTTAAGATTGTTGCTCAGAATTCCTTTTTAGTCATTTCAAGGGTTTCCTGCTCTGTAGGATCTGGTATTTGAGAATTACTATATTCTTTTAGTAGTACCATATTTTCTTGGGTTTTCGTATTTCTAGTATCTCTACGTTGATGTCTGGTCATCTGGTGGAGCAGTTGCTTCTCCTATTGCTCTGGAGTGGGCTTTGAGGAGAGAGATGTCCTCTTCTTTTTCCAGTCTCTGCTGGTAACTCTCTGTGTCAAGTGGTGGGCCACCTGCGTGGTGGCTGTGGCTACTGCTGTGGCATCAAGCTGCTTTTGCAGCAGCCATGGCTGTGGCAGTGGCTGTCGTGGGCCACCCATGCGGAAGTGGTGTTTTTGGCATGCTCTCTTCCTTGCTTCCAGGCACAGGTACTGCCCTTGGCTCCTGCCTAGGACCCTGGGTGTTGCTCTCTTCTACCAAATTTTAAATGTGTTATTTTATTTAATCTTCACAGCAATCTCTTTTATAGATAAAAAATGTGAGACTTGAATAATTTGCCCTAAGTATAAATAGTTTGAAAATGTACTATTTGAAAACTATTTAAGCATACATGTAGTTTAAAAAGGCACATGGTCATCAATAATCTGAAATTTCTTTGGCTATAACAGAAGTCCTCAGACAGAGCACCTTGAATACAGCACAGATGTGGTGAGAGAAACATAAACAAGTGCTGAAATGTGTGAATGTTCCCATATAAAAGAAAGGAACATACTGCCAAAAAGAAAATAAAGGAACAAAAATTTTTTTAAAAGCAGAAAGAAAGATATATAAACTAATAAAATGAACCTAAAATAAATCTATGACTCCCCTTCTTTTTTCTTATGAGACCTCTAAAATAAATGCCTCACTTTTTACTTCTGTTTTTTTAACCCATAATTGATAATAAGTACCTGATAGTCTGATATCAAAACCGAGTGCCTGAGTTATATTGTTTCTAGTCTACATATTAAGTTTTCTGAATTTTTTTTTTTTTTTTTAAATAAAGATGACTGGTAAGGCGATCTTAACCCTTGGCTTGGTGTTGTCAGCACCACACTCTCCCAAGTGAGCTACCTGGCCATCCCTATATAGGGATCTGAACCCATGGCCTTGGTGTTATCAGCACCACACTCTCCCAAGTGAGCCATGGGCTGACCCTTGAATTTTTTTTCTAATAGGCCACCTATTAGCATCCTCAAATTAATTAGCTTTAGGGATTAGAGAAGGCAGATTCTGAAACTATAGGTATTAGTGTTATAAATAAGATTTATTCAATTTGAAAATATAATGTCTGTTTTTGGAAATGTGGCATGTTCAGGACTCAAAAATATTCTTCTAAAATCTATAAAAAGAATTTCTATAAGCTTGTATTCTGTTAAACATTAGGTTGTTACATCTTTGTGGCCAAATGTATCATACATTCTTGTTCATGCTGAGTTGGTAATGTACCTTGCCCCTTTGTTTCTTTGACTTGTCTGTATTGCCATAAATATATGTGGGTGCTTCTTTGATAAGGGAGTTAAGTAGCAGTAATATTTGTCTTCACTGTTGTCAATAAGGCACTGATTTAGTCTTGTTGGAAGCTATAAGGTTCAGTAATAAAAATAAATTTTCAATTTGGCCCTGGAGAATTTTAAAGTATTGAAGAAGCATTTTGAAAAATTTTGTATCTGGTTGCATTTATTCCTTTTGTTTTATAAAATACAAGTTATCTGTATTTTATATACAATATATGTAAATTTATGACTTTATAAAGTCATATACATATATATGTGACTTGTATATGTAAATTTATTGCCTATTTTACTCACAAACTTAGATGTTTAAAAAAAACAAAGTCTTGTAATGAAAAAGTAAAGCACCTACTTATCAGTGGTGTTTTATCTATTATGTAGACTTTGCTCCTCCTCTTTGGCTAATGAGAAGGTGGAAGCAATGTGGTTAACTTGAAAGAACTGGTGGTTGTGGGTTTTGAACCTTTGATTATCACATAGAAGAATTTCCCATAGAGTAACTGTTTTTACACTAGTTGGAACTTATTTTCCAAATAGAAAAATGGTAAGATTAGGGCAGTGAAATACTGGTGAGATACAAAGACAAATAATGTGTCATTCTTAGTTTGGTTTAATGGGTACTTATAAACATCCTGGATAGCAGTGTTTTATAATGTTTATATATAAACTTTGGATCGTTTCCTGATTTTTAAGACTACAGAGTATTCTTAATATATTTAAACCAGTATAGAAGGTAAGCTAGCTTTAACTATTATAAAGTGAACATTGAACAGTGTCCAAGTTTATATTCTCACGTTTTAATAGGTTGTGCTCCAATAAAACAAAGCCAAATGAGATAGAACTTGGAGAAATTAGAATAACCACAATACTTTGTATTTTTAGAAAGCTAATTCTAAACTTACTGGATATTAATTGAATGGACTATGTTAGTAAAATTAACAGAATATTGTAGAATTAATAAAATAAAATTAATGACATTATTCCAGTGTGTTTTGTGAGATGGAAAAAAAATAATGAAATTTTATTCATGTTAATTTCCATTAGAATATTTCACTTGGCCTATTGAACCTCTATGATCAGCTAATGAAAAATTAATAAATAGGGCATTGTGTCTACTCTAGAAGTGATTTGATGCTGATTTTATATTTACACTGTTTTAATAATTGACAAGAAGCATGGCAGTAGAGAGTTAGAAATGTGTAAAGTATACATATAGATGAAAAAGTCATAAATATAGGAAGTTAAGATATTTCTGGTGATTTGTCAGTGATTATAATTAAAATGTGGATTTGGGAGTTATTCAGCTTTGGTAAAAGGCTGGCTTTGGCCTTTATCTTAAGTTCTTAAGTGACATGTGAAAAACCAATGTTTTCATAGGTTCTGCACCTCCCTTAGCAAATCCACCTTTGCCTACTACTTTTCAATCTGGAACTCCTCATGGGCCCCTTCCAACTGGAGGCGTACCTCCAGTAAGGGCCCTCATGCCCCAGAAATCATCACATAGAGCTGTACCTCCACCTTCATTTAATTCAGCTATCAACCAAGAAGGTAAGCAAACCGAAAAACAAAGTCAAGTCCTAAAGTTTTGACTTAGGGTAGAAAGGTGAGTGTTATCTGAATTCTGTGCATTAGAATCATATTTTTCCAGAAAATCTAGTTTGGGTTAGGGATGGGGCTTCAGGAATTTAAAAAGTTCCTCAGGGGCTGGCTGGTTATCTCAGTTGGTTAGAGCATGGTGCTGATATCACCAAGATCCAGAATTTGATCTCTGTACTGGTCAGCTGCCAAAATAAATAAATAAGTAAATAAAAATAAACAAAAAGTTCCTCAGGAATTCCATTGCCTTATACTGGGCTGTGGACTAGCATTAGGGAACACTGCTCTTAACTTTTTTTTGTTTCTTTTTTTGTTGCTGTGCAAATTTTTTTAAAAAAATCATGCCTATAAAGTTAGGTGACTTTGGGGATGTACAAGAGAACAATTCCTGCTTTTCTGGACATGGTGTTAGAACTCTCCTTTTAAAATTTTGACCTTTTTCCATCAAAAATATTTTGATTGTCGCTGTTACTGTAAATATTAACAAATATTTGAGACTAAATAAAAAGACAAATACACAATCAGTTTGAAGTTTTATATAGGTAAAATGTTTTAAAGCATAATCTTGGGATGTAACTTTGAAATATAAGTATTAAATAAGATTTTTGTAAAGTAAGAAATATGATTTTAAAACCAGTGCAGCAAGATATATAAATAGGAAAACAGAAGAGGAGAAAAAACAATGCCAATATCATATTATTGAATGTAATCAATATTATCATTTTGTATTTTTTTCTAGCTTTTTTTTTTTTTTTTTTTTTTTTTTTTTTTTTTTTCTTTTTTCCGTGTCCGGCAACGGATCGCAACCCTCAGTGTTGCCCCCGTACCGGACCGGGGACCGGCAACGGGATTGCAAGCCTCGGTGTTGCTCCCGCGCCTCGCTTAGCCAGCGAGCGGGAACCGGTCTGTATGTGGGATCCGAACCCTCGGGCGGGAGCGCCGCCGCGCTTCCCAAGCGGCGCACTATCCAGTGCGCCACCGGGCCGGCCCTTCTAGCATTTTTTTTTAAGTATTATAAGTAGGGAAAAGAATAGTGTTAATAATGAGTAACAGAACAATAGACATTGTCTCACTGGTTGCCACGTTATAACTTTGACAATCAGGCTACAATAAATATTACATTTCTAACCAGTTAAGAAGAATTCACATTATGCCCTATGCTTTTGTTTGTTTCTACTAAAAGTTATACTATGGGGTTTTTTTTTGTATCAATTCATGGCTAAACTTAGTTGGTGTTGAGAGTTGGATAGAAGTTACTGACTATTGAAATCATTAAATTTACCTATTTGGTGTTAGTATGTTGTTAAAGTTAGCACCTTTGTACTTAGGTGCTAAATGTTGATGCTGTTTGCTGAATTTAATTTCTTCTGCCTCTGAATTAGAGCTCATAAAAAGCAGGGGTACTTGGAAATACATTTTTAGCTTTCATAAGCAGATGTCTCTGGCATTTATCATTAATCCTATACAGTTTTGGGAGAAGACAAATTAAGATTTTAATCTAATTTTAGTGGTTGTTCTCTAGACTTAAAGCAGTTGTTTTAATTCATTTATATCACCTTCAAATTAATTTTGGATTCCACTCTGTTAAATATTTTGAAAATAAGGTCTTTTATCCTCATAATCTTACTTTCTTTAAGTAGTATTGACTATGATGATTTTTTTTTTCATAGTGTACTGCTCCTTAGAGGTTTTTGTGTTTTTTTTAAAAATTTTCCCCCCATATTCCTCTATTGGCTGCCACAATCAAGAGACAGAAAGCACGAGGACTTTTTTCTTGTATCCGTAGTGGTCCTTAGAGTTTTTTTAATGCAGCTCTTGCAACTGCTGAAATCTTTCAGAAAGTATACAATTTTATAAACTCCACACAAAGGACCATCAGTTTTAGAAGTTATTTTGCTAGAGTTAAGTTTTGAAAAGCCTTGCTATATGGGCCTTTGGTTTAGGCACAATGTAAGATGAAAAAAGATTTTCTGAAGACTCATGGTTTCCTTCCCTGAAGCTGCATTTAAGTTGTTTGAAACTTTTGTATATTCTAAAACTTGCATTTTTTGAATTTTTTATTTCAACATTTGACGTTTTTGATAGGCCGTGTTTTAAACTATTTGGTGTTTGGAAAGTTGTCGAAAATTTTAGATATTAAAGAAATTTTTTAGATATTTGCAGAAATCATAATAATCATTCTAATTTAAATCTTGCTAATGAACTTCCTTCTTAGGTATTACATCAAATACCAATAATGGATCTATGGTGGTCCACAATAGTTATGATGAAATTGAAGGAGGTGGCTTCTTGGGTGAGATGCTATGAATGTTTTTTTTTAAGTCTTTTTTCCGATTACAGAAGTAATGTGTAATATGCGCTCATTGTATAAATTTGGGCTCATTGTATAAATTTGTGCTCACTGTAGGAAACTAAGAAAACTTCATAGTTATGTTATTTATCTATACTTACTGTTAACATTTTTCATCTCTGTGCATTTAGGTTTTTTGTTTTCTTCCCTTCAGAATTGGGGTCGTGGGTTTCATTATTATTATTTAGAATGTAGAGTAGTTTTATCAGTTAGATATATTTAAATTTATTTAACCAATCCCCTAAGTTAAACATTTAGAATGTTTCATTAAAGTTGTTTTGAATTAAAATTTTAGTTTGAATACAAAATTTAGCATATGATATGAAAGCAAATAAATTATACCAAACTTATTTTTGTGTATTTACATCTATAGTCTACATTAACTAGATATTAATAATTGGTAATACTTTGTTACTAGTGTTTATTTGTCTTATTTTATAAAATTGATAAAGTATTAAATTATCCAAAGAATTTTAGAATTATAATTCCTATAATTTAATGGATCTATGTGTTGATTTAAATTATTCTGGAGTATAAAATAGAACTTAAAAGTTACCTTGTTTCTAGCAACACCACAGCTTACTAATAAGAATCCCAAAATGAGCCGAAGTGTTGGATATTCATATCCTTCCTTACCACCGGGTTATCAGAACATAACACCACCTAGTGCAACTGGAATGCCACCCTCTTCGTTGAATTACCCAAGTGGGCCACAAGCCTTTACTCAGGTAAACTTTTCTTTTTTAATCCTATTTTCCATCTTTTAGTTTTAATTGTATACACGTGAAGCAAGTTTTAAGAAGATATACTTAACGTTTTTATAACCAATTAGAATAATAATGGATATTCTGTAAAGGCTTTGTCCTTATACATTGCTTCAGAACCAAAAGATTGGCCATGAAATCTAGATTACACTTTTGTTATTTAGAGAGAAATTAACCAAGTCCCTACACACTTATAAAGGTTACTTACTTTGAAATTATGTATCTGTAGACTCCGTTAGGTGCTAATCATTTAACTGCAAGCATGAGTGGATTAAGTCTGCATCCAGAGGGTCTAAGAGTTATCAATCTTCTTCAAGAAAGAAACATGCTTCCTTCAACACCTTTGCAGCCTCCAGTTCCAAATTTGCATGAAGACATCCAGAAACTCAACTGTAACCCAGAGTAAGGCTTTAAATAGCATCTCTTATTAAATGTGACAGCATGCATGTTCTAAAAGTTTTACAGATTTTTTTTTTTTTTTTTTTTTTTTTTGGAGCTTCAGGGTGTTCTGAATAAGCTGTACAAGTCTCTTAATTTATGAAGGAAATTCTGGACACAGAAGATAGAACTCTGTTACTTAATTGAGATTTGAAATATCTAAGTCAAAAAATAGGGTTGTAACCCCCAAATTGGTTGTTGCTCTTTTCAGCAATAGTGAGATTATGATATTCATTATCATTATGGTAGCTACATTTTTTCTCCAATATCCAAAGTACAGGGATTAGATTCTATATAATCCTTTGTTTTACTCATTTTAAATTGCTTTCTTTCTTTCTTTTTTTTTTTGGCTGCTGGCTGGTATTTAAGTTGATTTCATAACAAACATAATTGTAATACATTTTTCTTCCTAAAAATTTGCCGTAAGTTTAAATGTATGTGGTGATGACTTTCTGATTAATTGAATTTTGTTATTTTTAAATAGTATTTTTAGAATCTTCAGCAAAACTGAACTTTTATGTAATAAACTGCATTTGCAAATTTGGGTCATATCCTGGTAATTCCAGTTTAATCTAGACTCATGTAAAGAAAAATAAGTCGTTTGATAGTGTAGACTGTCTTACACATAAAGCCAAGAAGAGACTGTATTTTAGTTATATAATATGGGGTAACCATTTATTCTCTATTTCTCAGTAGGAGTTATACTTAAATATTTTAATGGGATAAAATTTGAGAGGGCCTATTGAAATTTTTTTTTTTTTTTGTCCTTTTTGAGACCGGCTGCACCACGCTCAGCCAATGAGCGCTGTGAGCGCACCAGTCATCCCTATATAGGATCCGAACCCGCGGCGGGAGCGCTGCTGCGCTCCCAGCGCTGCACTCTCCCAAGTGCGCCACAGGCTCGGCCCCTATTGAAATATTTCATTTGTAATCTGTTTCCAATATTAAAATGGGTGCCTTAAAAAAATTTTTTTTGATCCAAAAATAATCATAGCAGCATCCAACACATGCTTTTTACTTTGACATAGGTTATTTCGATGCACGCTGACTAATATTCCTCAGACTCAGGCCTTACTGAACAAAGCCAAACTTCCTCTGGGGCTACTGCTTCATCCTTTCAAAGACCTGCTGGTATGTTTCCCTAGTGAAAGTAAATGTCTTGTGGAAAATTATCTTGGTGGTGAAAATTTTCTGCAACAATGCAAGAGTCACATATAGAATTTGTTTGAGCTAACTTTAGGTACTTGACCATTGACAGATTTCCTTATTTGTAATTCAGGCAAAAATTTTATTATCAAACACTTTCAAAATGAGGTAAAATAAGCATATTGTTGAGAAATTCAAGAAGTACTGAATAGAGTAGAGGTACTGAAAGAAAATAAATGAGTAAACTGTACTGTTTAATAAGTTTTAAATTATTTATCCATTAAAGTACTTCAGTCTCTTTGTTCTGCCATTGTTGGAGTAAACTTTGATGTTTCAAGAAATTGTTACAAAAGAAAAAAACAGATCTACCTTTGTCCTAAGGCTCTGGGACCTTGACATATGACCACATACTCATGAAGATCAGTGTGTGAGTGAGGTGACTTTCCAAAAACAAACCTATTGTTAATATGATTTTATTGTGTATATTGATTTTTGATATTAAGACTTTTGAACTTTTAATATGTAGGAAAAACTTTAAATAGGAGCATAATTGAAAAGTTTAATTGAATACTTAAATATAATTTAACCTTACCTTACTTTATAACAGTTCTTTATGAGAACTAAGTAGGCTTTTTAATGTAACATCAAGAAACTTTGTAATGATTTCATTGGTCATTTGTTTTAGAATGTTGATCGCATTTCTTTTGCAATCCATCCCAAAAGTACATTGTAAATTTACTACCTTGGTTTTGCAATGTGAGTGTTTAATGAGAAAGCAAATACTTTTTAAAAGGCAAATTTTAATGAGAATGGTACCGGAAAAACAATAGGGTTTAAAATCAGTACGTTTTATGTACATAAATTTTTTGTGTGGCAGTTTGGATACTTCTTTTACTCTAGGTTTTTTCTCCAAAATTATATCCCAACAGTTATTTGGAAGGGATAGATTAATGCTTGCCCTTTCAACATGATGATCATTGCTTTTAAAAACTTAGTTCTGTTTTTTCAGCAATTGCCTGTGGTTACCTCCAGTACGATTGTGAGATGCCGTTCATGCAGGACGTATATCAACCCTTTTGTCAGCTTTCTTGATCAAAGGAGATGGAAGTGTAACTTATGTTACCGAGTCAATGATGGTATGCTTTTTTGAAATGTTTAAAAATTTTATCTTTGCATTGTAGGGAAATCAGATAATACCAATGTGAAGTTAAAAAAAAAAAAAAAAAAACCAAACAACCCCCTTATTTATCTGAAAGCAATCCCTCAACATGGAGAAAACTACTGTTAACTTTTCTGTATGTAGTTATACCTTTTTTTTTTTTTTTTTTTTTGAGGCTGATCATTTTGACCTTGGTGTTATAATACCGTGCTCTAACCAACTGAGCCAACCAGTCAGCCGTTTTATACTTATAAATAAATGATTATATACTTTTTAAAGTAAAAAGTGTGATATTATGTTATTAGAAAATGTATGTATAGGTTTTAGTATACCTTTAAAATCTAATGCGTATGTGCTTCAGTATACAAAATGAAATGGTAATAAAGGTTGAAGCCTCTTTCATAAGCTGCTCATTTCGTGAACTATAGCTTACCCTGTAGAGTACATAGAGATTTGAATTTCTAACTAGTTAGTCGGAAGACAGGTGACTTAGAAAATACTCTCTGAGCACTAGTGTAAGTGGCAGGCAACTGATGTTCCATAAAGATCTCATTAATTTAAAACTCACTAAACCCTTACGGCTTTTAACCTATGAAATAGTTTTACCTTTCATAGGTAAAACTTTCTAGGTCCAGCCAGAGTCTTTACACTTCATATGTCGAATGTTTGTTTATTTTTTATTTATTTATTTATTTTTTCTAAAAGATGACCGGTAAGGAGATCTTAACCCTTGACTTGGTGTTGTCAGCACCACGCTCAGCCAGTGAGCTAACTGGCCATCCCTATATGGGATCCGAACCCGGGGCCTTGGTGCTATCAGCACTACACTCTCCCAAGTGAGCCACGGGCCAGCCCATATGTCGAATGTTAATATCCTTGTTTAATTGTTAAATTTAAGAAAAAATTGGTGGGCCGGGCTGGTGGCGCACTGCTACAGTGCGCCGCTTGGGAGTGCAGCGGCGCTCCCGCCGAGGGTTCGGATCCCATATACAGACCGGCCGCTCACTGGCTGAGCGCGGTGCAGGCGCGACACCGAAGGGTTGCGATCCCGTTGCCGGTCCCGGTCCGGTGCGGGTGCGACACTGAGGGTTGCGATCCCTTGCCGGTCACGAAAAAAGACAAAAAGGAAAAAAAAAAAAGAAAAGAAAAAATTGGCATTTAATGAGTTTTTATCATCTTTTCAAGCTATTTTAGGAAAGCTGCTATAGCAAGAATTAAGATAAAGAGGATTTCAGAAGATAGAAAAAAAACATCACAGTGATTATAGTTGTAAAAGCAGGACGTATTTAGTACCATTTAATATGTGGTGAACTTGAGTGGAACTAAAAAAAGTGAATTTATCCCATAATATTTGGCCTATATTGAATTATTTATAAGCCCCTAAATTAAGAAAATGGCCAAATGCAAGGTATATTAAAATAATCCTTTCAGTTTTATTTATATATATATATATTGTTAACTTTATGTAGTTCCTGAAGAGTTCATGTACAACCCTTTGACCAGAGTTTATGGAGAACCTCACAGAAGACCTGAAGTTCAAAATGCTACTATTGAGTTTATGGCTCCTTCAGAATACATGGTAAGTGTTTACTTTTTATAAAGTGCACTTATTTCTTAATACTGGGTTTTAAATAAAACAGTATAGCATCCTTTAACAAAATTTTATGTTTTAAATTTATAAAAGTGTAGTACTTGTTCATTACTTATAAAATTAATTAGTATATAAGGGTATGTTTGAAAAGTAAAAGTGTATGTAAAGTTCCACTTAAGTTTCTAGTGTGTCCATCGAGAGATTTGCAGTATAACATCAGGGTAATATTGACTTTTAAGTTACATTCAATTTTTTTCTGTTACAAATAATGCTGTGATGAACATCTTGCAAGTACTTTCTCATAAACTTGTGAGAATATCTGAGGTCTTGCATTTTAAAAATAATTATGCCTAATGTTTAATTAGTACTTTACATTTTACAAAGCATTCATATTTTTGATTTTCACAATCAATACTGTGAAGTAAGCTAGGGAAATGAAGTGAATCCTGTTTTACAGATGTGAAAGCAAACTTGGGTTAAGTCACTGGCCAAATATCACTTAGTAAGTGGTAGAACTTGCATAAAAATCTAGGCCTTAATTCGGTTATCCTTTCACTGTGCCATAATTGCCACTAGGGAAAGGGAAATATTAAGATAAGACTTTACAGTGACTTTTAATATTTTAATATTTTAGTATATTTTTGTGGCATAGTCTTTTTTTTTTTTTTGTCTATCTTTTGTCTTTTTGGCAGTTGGCTGGTATGGGCATCTGAACACTTGACCTTGGTATTACAAGGCAGCACTCTAACTAGCTGAGTTAAGTGGCCAGCCCTTGTGGCATAGTCTTTATCTGGGCAATTGGAACCATTTTACTGTAGAACTTGTGAGGGATCAGTCTCTTCACTACAGAGAAGCTTCAGTGTAGAAAACATTTTGTGGCATTTTGTGGTTGGTAATAGCTATCTGCAGTGTAGCTGTGCCTTTACTGAATTAAAACCAAAAAAGCAGAAGCATTTGTTCTTTTGAATCAGCCTTCCTAGGTTCCTTTTATCTCCCAGGTTTTGCAAAAATGGCTTCCTATAAATTTGGAAACTTGCCTATAGCAAAGTGTTTTTGTTCTTTTCTGGCTTATCTCTAGGGCGGCAGGTTCTATGAATTTGGCAAGTGATACATGCAAAAATAAAAGTCAGTATGCTACATGCTCAATAGTGATTGTGGTTGTTTGATGCTTTTTGCTGAGTTGAAAACCAGTTTTGAGTTTGGAAGTTTAAAATACAGTCTTAAATTTTTATTCAGTTTGGCTGAAATGTGTTGATTGAATAAACAGCTGAGGCTAACTTTGTCACTTTCAGAATTATAATTTCCCTACATTGTGAAATATAACACACATATAGAAAAGTCAAAATTTCACAGAAAGCTTGGAAGATAAAAAAGGGTTTTATCCATAGCTTTAGGAAAAGTTCATGCCAAACATGAACTTTATATGTCACTTTGGAAGTTGTGCTGATCCACTGTTTTGATGGTGCCACAATGTCATGGAAGGACAGGGCTTCCTACAGAAGGTCCTTAGCGGCAAATTACTGTGGAAGGAAACGCCCTCAAAGTGGCAAATTGATGATTTCATTTCTTTTTTTTTTTTTAAAGATGACCGGTAAGGGGATCTTAACCCTTGATTTGGTGTTGTCAGCACCACGCTCAGCCAGTGAGCGAACCGGCCATCCCTATATGGGATCCGAAACCGGGCCTTAGTGTTATCAGCTCCACACTCTCCCGAGTGAGCCACGGGCCGGCCCGAAAAAGTTGTGTTAGTACTGTTCAGGTCAAGAAATTGAACATTGCCAGTACTGCCAGAAGCCGTTCTATTCACATTTCCTTTCCTCCCTGTCCTAGGAAAAACACTCCTCTGAATTATGGCAATCACAGACTCATTTTAAGTATGCATCTGTAAAAATATATTATAGCTTTACCTGTTTATTATACTCTCCACTCATTCTGTAAATAGTGCTTATTTTATTGTCTTGTCATGTGTGAACCTGGCACATGGTAAGTTTAACTATTAAACATGTTTAATGAGATCCTTTTTTTTCCCTTCAGTTACGACCACCTCAACCTCCAGTGTACCTCTTTGTATTTGATGTGTCTCACAATGCAGTTGAAACTGGATACTTGAATTCAGTTTGCCAGAGTTTGTTAGACAATCTGGATTTGTAAGTGTCTCAATTCAGTTTAAGTCTGAAATAAATAATAATGTTTGCAAAATGAATGAGTAGTTTTCAAGATACAAAAGAAAAACCTATATTATTGTGTTCTATAAGTCCATGTAAATCATTTGTTAACTTAGGCATCACTCTCTCTAGAAACATTATTTTCAAACCTAAAGTAGGAAGAATAATGTAATGAACCTCCAGGTACCCATTTCCCAACTTTATCATCTTCAGCGTTCTTCTGTTCTTGCTTCATCTAATCCTCCCCCTTCACACACACTTTCCCCCACTGAGTATTTTAAAGCCAATATGGACTAACTTTTAATCCTTACTCCAATAGTAGTATCATACCAGCCAAAATTAGCAATAATTCCATAATATGACCTAATACCCAGCTCATTTTTTGTTTCTAGTTGTGTCAAAAATGTGTTTTTATTGAATGTTTGTTGGAATAAGAATCCAAACAGTGTACACACATTGCATTTGGTTATCGTGTCTCTTAAATCTGTTTAAATAACTGTATTTTAAATGGTGCTTAGATTCTTAGTACAATCCATGAAATCTGGTGTGACCTTTCATTATAAAAAAGTATAGTGCTCTTGTGTGGTATGGAGGAATGTGGAAGACCAAATCTTATCACACATGGAGTAACTTTCTTACCTTGGTGAAAGAGCATCCTTGTTCCTGCCAGCGTTTGTATTTTTAATGTTGTAGATAGTGTGTGGGATTGTGTATTGATGAGATAGTTTGCTGACTCACCCAAGCATGAGTAAGAGTGGAAACCAATTTCTCTTTCCCTTTATGAAACTGTAGTTCCACATACTTGAATTATTTAAAACAGATGCTTTTGCTCCTCTTTGTTCTTAAATAAATGCATTAAACAATATAAAAAGAGGTAAAGAGATGCACTACCTAAATTTATATTTTAGAGTTGATATATAGTAATTTTTTAAAGTACTCTTTATAAAATAGCTTCAAATCATCTGCAAAGTTTTATACGTGCTTTCCAGTATTTTTACGTGCTATTTCCTAAGTGATTAGATATAACTTTATATATATATATGTAATTGGTTTTGAATTGCTGTCTTATTGTAGTTTTTTGTTGATTGTTTGGTTTATGTGTAGTGCTTTTCCTTTGAGTGAGATATGTTTTCATGCTAGTTAAACATTGGGTGGTTTAAACCTTTGTTTATGTTGGGCCAATTTCCATAATATTAGATTAGATATTTGCATGTAACTCTTAGATATTTTATGTATGTATGTATGTATGTAGATGGGAAAACTTGATAAAATAATCTTCTGAATTTGTTTTTAGGCTTCCTGGCAACACTAGAACAAAAATTGGCTTCATAACATTTGACAGTACAATCCATTTCTACAGTCTTCAAGAAGGTCTCTCTCAACCTCAGATGCTAATAGTTTCAGATATTGAAGGTATATGTTATACACTTAAATTTATTGAACTGCCTTAGGAATTTTCAGTTTTAGAAATATTTCATGACTGACAAATTATTGTATGGTATGATTCTAGTATATTGAGGAGAATCTTGAGTTTAAAAATCATGAGATTGTTGGAGTTTTAAGAATCCTTCAGGGGCCGACCCCGTGGCGCACTCAGGAGAGTGCGGCACTGGGAGCGCAGCAATGCTCCCGCCGCGCGTTTGGATCCTATATAGGAATGGCCAGTGTGCTCACTGGCTGAGCGCGGTGCGGGCGACACCAAGCCAAGGGTTGCGATCCCCTTACTGGTCACGAAAAAGACAAAAAAAAAAAGAATCCTTCAGTCTAATCTCTCATTTTATAGAACAAGAAACAGAGTAAAGTGAATTCTGAACAGGTAATAAATACAAGTTAATGTTAATACTTAGATTTAGGTTTCTTTTTCTCTTCTTCCCATTCCTTCATTCAAAAAGTATTTGAGAGCTCAGTTGGTTAGAGCACAGTGTTATAACACCAGGGCGCAAGGGTTCAGGTCCCTCTACCAGCCAACTGCCAAAAACAAACGAACAAAAAGTATTTGAGGTTAGACATATAGACCAAAGAAATAGAATAGAGAGCTCAGAAATAAACCTTAACATATATGGACAATTGATTTTTGAAAAGGGTGTTAAAGGGCCGGCCCGGTGGCGCACTGGATAGTGCGCCGCTTGGGAAGCGCGGCGGCGCTCCCGCCCGAGGGTTCGGATCCCACATACGGACTGGTTCCCGCTCACTGGCTGAGCGAGGCGCGGGGGCAACACCAAGGGTTGCGGTCCCGTTGCCGGTCCCGGTCCGGTGCGGGGGCGACACTGAGGGTTGCGATCCGTTGCTGGACACGGAAAAAGACAAAAAAAAAAAAAAGGGTGTTAAAACTGTTCAATGGGGGAAAAGATAGTCTTTTCAACAGATGGTTGTGGGAAAACTGGACATGCAAAAGAATGAGGCTGGACTCTTATCTTAAACCATATGAGGATAAATTACCTCTAAATGGATCAAAGACCTAAACATAAGAGCTAAAGTATAAAAGAGGGGGAAATTTTCATGATATTGAATTTGGCAATGATTTCCTGGATATGACACCAAAAGTACAGGCAGTAAAAGAATAAGTAAGTAATTGGATTTCATCAATATTAAAAACTCGTACATTAAAGAACACTATCCAGGGCCGAGCCTGTGGCGCACTCGGGAGAGTGCGGCGCTGGCAGCGCGGTAGCGCTCCCACCACGGGTTCGGATCCTATATAGGGATGACCGGTGCGCTCACAGCGCTCACTGGCTGAGCGTGGTGCGGCCGGTCTCAAAAAGGACAAAAAAAAAAAAAAAACAAAAAAACCCCACTATCCAGACAGTGAAAAGTCAACCCACAGAATTGGAGATAATATTTGCAAATCGTATATCTGATAAAGGATTTAATATCCAGAATATCTAAAGAACTCCTATGACTCAACAACAAAAAACCAAAACCACAATTCAAAAATGGGCAAAGGATTTGAATAGACATTTCTCCAAAGAAGATACACAAATGGCCAATAAGCACATGAAAAAGTGCTCAGCATCATTAGTCACTAGGAAAATAATGCAAATCAAAACCACAGTGGATACTACTTCATACCCATTAGGATGGCTGTTATCAAAAAATGGAAAATAACAAGTGTTGGGAAGGCTGGGGAAACACTGGAACCCTTATGCATTGTTGATGGGAGGGTAAAATGGTACAACTCCTATGGAAAACAGTTTGGCAGTTCCTCAGAGTTAATACAGAATTATATATGATCTAGCAATTCCACTCTTCAATATATATTCAAAAGAATTGAGAGCAGGAACTCAAACAGATACTTGTACATCATCATTTATAGCAACATTATTCACAATAGCCAAAAAGTGGAAACACCCCAAGTAGCAGGTGAATGGATAAAAAAAGATGTGGTGTAAACATATAATAGAATATTATGTAGCCTTAAAAAAAAGTGAAATTCTGATACATGCTACAATATGGATGAACCTTGAGAACATTATGCTAAGTGAAATAAGCCAGACACAAAGGGACAAATAATATATGATTGCACTTACATGAAGTACCTAGAATAGCCAAATTCATAGAGACAGAAAGTAGAATAGAGGTTACCAAGGAATGGGGGGAAAAGACAATAAGGAGCTATTATTTAGTGGCTACAGATTTTCTATGTGGGACGATCAAATTTTGAAATAGTTAAGATTGTAGATTTTATATATTATGTATATTTTACCATAATAAATTAACAGAAAGTGGGTCATAGACCCAAGTGTGAGACTAAAAGTACAAAAGTGTTAGAAGAAAATATAGAAGTAAATCTCCATAACCTTAGATTAGGCAGTGTTCTTAGACATAACACCAAAAGCACAGGCAACAAAAGAAAAAAAATGATAAATTGGGCTTCCTCAAAATCAAAAACTTTTGTGCTTCAAAGAATACCATCGAGAAAGTGGAAAGACAACCCACAGAATGGGAAAATATTTGTAAATCTTGTCTGATAAGGGATTTATATCTAGATTACATAAAAAACTCCTACAACTTAATAATAAAAGGACAAATAACCTAATTAATAAGTGGGTAAAGGATTTGGATAGACATTTCTCTACTCAGAATGCAATATTCAATATTCTCTACATACAAATGGTTGATAAGTGCATTAAAAGATGCTCTACATAATGAGTTATCAGGCAAATGCTAATGAAAACTGCAATGAGATGTCACCACACACCAACTAGAATGGCTAAAATTAAACAGGTAGACAATAACAAGTATTACTGAGGAAGTAGAGAAATTAGAACCTTCATACACTGCTAGGGCAATATGAAATAGTACCAGCCACTTTGGGAAAGTCTGGCAGTTCCTTAGAAAGTTAAATAATAGAGTTACCCAGCAATTCTACTCACTAAGAATGTACTCAAGAAAATTGAAAACATGTTTGTACAAAAATTTGTACATTAATGTTCACAGCAGCATGACCAAAAAAGTGGAAACAACCCAATGTTCATCTTCTGATGAACATAAAATATGATACGTCCATACGATGGAATGTTATTGGGCAATAAAAAAGAATGAAGTATTGATGCATGACAACATGGAGGAATCTTCAAAACATTATGCTTTGTGAAGGAAGCCAATCACAAAAGACATATACTGTAGTATGATTCTCTTTATATGAAATGTCCAGAATATGCAAAACCATAGGGACAGAAGGTAGATTACTAGTTGCCAGGAACTTGGGGGAAAAGGGAAACAGACAGTGACTGTTAATGGTTACAGGGTTTCTCTTTGAGATGATAATAAGGATCTGGAATTAGATAGTGGTGATCTTGGACAACTCTCTGAATATATCAAAAATCACTGAATTATATATACTCTTTATAAGGGTAAATTTTATGATATGTGAATTATATTTCAATAAAGTTGTTATAAAATAATTATAAAGGAAAAAAAGGGAAGAAGACTGAAGAGTAGCTGGTGGAATTTTTATATGACAGCTGAAGTAAATAATGTTTCAAATTATTTTTTGGTTCTTTTTTTTTAACTTTATAATGAGCCTTATTTTTTTGTAATTAAAAACAAACTGTAGGGCCACCTTGTGGCTCACTCGGGAGAGTGCGGTGCTGATAACACCAAGCCAAGGGCTGAGATCCCCTTACCGGTCATCTTTATATGGGAAAATAAATAAATAAATAAATAAAAACTATAGAGGGGTCCTGGCTCATTAGCTCAGTTGGATAGATCATGGTGTTAATAACACCAACATCCAGGATTCAATCCCTGTACCAGACAGCTACCCACCCGCCACCCACAAAATCTATAAAAATATAGAAACTGATTCTCCTCATAATCTTCCTCTACCAGTCTTCTCTTCCCAGTTTTGCTTCCTTTTAAGGAAGGGAGTTTAATTCCTAAGCAGGAATAAATGGGAATCTTGAGAGGCTCATGTATTTTTTTCTTTGTTTGTTTTTGCGGCTGGCTGGTACAGGGATTGCACCCTGGACCTTGGTGTTATCAGCATCACATTCTAACCAACTGAGCTAACTGCCAGTCCCAAGAGGGTCATACGAAGAGGTCAGTTAGCATACCTTCTGATTCACTTGATTTTGTACTCCCATTATTGAAGGCACTGATGTGGGCCTTTATGAGAAAGCATCAGCTTTTTGAATGACAGAGCTCTTGGTGAGCTGTATTACTTCTGTATAGAGATATAGCATTCTTGTGTGTCATGTTAGTCAACATTTTTTTTTAATGCCAAGAGTGTGTCTTTGACTGGTTTGAGCCAGCCATTAAAAAAAAAAAGAAGGTAATGCAGGATTCTAAATTGTCTTCAACCTAAGAAGCAGAGCACTTGCACAAAGCCTTAGTGAGTATTTAGAGGTCAATATTTGCATACTGGGAGACTACTTATCTTTTATAAGGTGGAAGATGAGAAGCAGAAAAGTTGCAATAAATACCTGAATTAGTGCTCCTTTGGTGGTTCTTTGGACATATATAGACAGTGCTATCATAGTGTAGGAGGCTTTTCTTTAAGTTTGGGAGTAGTTAATTGCATCACTGTTATGTATTTGGAACATCTTTAGCAATTAAATTTTGTTTAAAATAAATATTTATTTATTTTTCAGATGTTTTTATACCTATGCCAGAGAATTTGTTAGTAAATTTAAATGAAAGTAAAGAGGTAAGGCACGTTTTCATACCTGACATATTTAATTGAAATTTGAAGGAATATATTTTTGAAATGAACTTTAAGTAAAATTTTGCTTCTTTCTGTGACATTTCTAAGATGTATATCATTTTATATTTGTTCTTAGTTAAAATTCATTAGAGGAACAACTCTTGAGTTCAACCTTGAGCTGATCATTTTTAAGTATAATGAAGCAAGTTGTATATCATAGGGTAGAAAATAAGCCTATTCCATAAAGGAGGAACACCTGAAGAAAACCTGTCTTGCCAGCCGTTTGGGAAGTTGGGAGGGTTGCTGAGATAAAGCTTCTGGTCACTACACAGAAGCACATTAGCTAGGCTGCTTTCAGTGCCCTTTGCTTTTCTGATTCACAGAGTGTCATTGGGGTCAGTTCAGAAGAAACTCTTATTACCTGCCTGGAAATTGCCATGACATAATACAGTGAGAGGTGAACAGAATGTGTCTGAAGGGGGGATGTTGTCTACCCTGTACATGCATATATGCCATAGGGGTAACATTTTAACTAGCAAGTCTATGGTCTCCGCTGTTAGCAATGGTGATTGTGCCATAGTGCAAAGTATTTTTTTCCCCGTTAACTCTTTATTTTTACAACCTAACCTGATATAGGTAGTAGTTTTTTATTTTATTTTTCTTTTGTAGTAATATTACTAGTTAGCAAAGTTACTGGATATCTTAGATTTTGTGACAGGGAAGAGTTAAACTCACTTTGGAATTTAAAAGAATAAAGTATGTAGAGGTGATGGAGAAGGCCGTATTTTATGGCATTAAAATATATCTCTTTGGGGATATTTGGTAGAAAAAAAATAACGTCAACTCTCTAAACTGTGATGGTTCTTTTTGATACATTTTGGACTTATAGTCTTGCTGGACTACTGCATGTGCAAGAACTGTAAGGCCCCAATTTTGATTTGTCTTGCTTGCCAATATATAATGTTGACTTAAAATGGTGTTCCCATCATTTGAACAACTTCATTGTTTACTGTAACATCTGTAGATTCTCTGACCATCATCATGACTCAATGTCTTTCTTGTCTATTATGCAAGAGTACTTCAAAAAGTTCGTGAAAAAATAGAATTAAAAGAATATGAATCTTTCCATGAACCTTTTGAAGACCACTCATATTAGATACTAACTTGTTCTGAAAAAATAAATATTAATTGTAATACTCTGGAGTTTTCTTGCTTTATTTCACTAGCTTGTCCAAGATTTACTGAAAACTTTGCCACAAATGTTTACCAAGACTCTGGAGACCCAGAGTGCCTTGGGTCCTGCACTTCAGGCTGCCTTTAAGCTGATGTCCCCAACTGGTGGTCGAATGTCTGTCTTTCAAACACAACTTCCAACTCTTGGAGTGGGAACCCTGAAACCACGAGAGGAACCCAACCAAAGGTCATCTGCCAAGGTCAGAAAGCTATCAAATATATGAAAAGATTTATATTGGTGTTCTGTCCCTTTGATCACAGAGCTTGTTTTTTAAAATTTATTTTTCAGTTGTTGGGAGGAAGGACCATAAGGAAATGGGTAAACGGTTTCACTTTTATGTAGACATTTTTATTTTATTACATTTTTCTCTACCTGATTCACCCTTACATTATTTTTAATATCTTTAGCAGGCCACTAGCGATCCAGCCTGCCTTTGATGTGAAAATCTGGATGGCTAAGAATATGCTTGCTAGGGACGAAGTAGAACATAGATTACCAGTTAGGGATATATTGTAATATTGATGGTCATGAATTGCTTTTTAGCTCCTGTGTATGTAAACTTAGAGTTTGAGACCTGTATTTCTCAAAAGATTAGGAGAGAGAGGTCTGTATACTAAACTGGTTATGATCTCACTCCTGGAGTCAGACTGCCTATTTTACACTGCTTAGTAGATTGAATAGTTAAGTAACTTGAATAGTTACCTAATTTCTTTGCCTTTTTGTTTCCTTACATGTATAGTGAAAATAATGATAGTATCTACTCTTAGGATAGTTGAAAAGACTAGATATTACATATGAATTGTTTAGAACAGTTTTCAGTATGCTGAGCATTTAATACATTTTAGTTAATAATCTTAACCAATTATGAAATTAATATAGTACATGTATTTCTTTCTTTTTAGGTGTAAAACAAAGAAAACTATAGAATCTTAAGCAATACATAATTCTTAATGAAAAATCAAATAATATAACAAAGCAAAAGGATTTTATAGAATGCCCAGAGATAATTATTGTTAATACCTTGGTATATGTAGATGTGTATTTAAATTTTATGACAATTTACTGATTTTTAAAAATTTCTCTTTGTAATTTATTATCAATAGGAAATACACCTGACACCATCCACTGACTTCTATAAGAAATTAGCTTTGGACTGTTCTGGTCAGCAGATAGCTGTTGACTTATTCCTTCTCAGTGGACAGTATTCTGATTTGGCTTCTCTGGGTAAGTGCCTCCTAATGATATTTTTTCTTAAATGAGTATCAAAATGTTATTTATATACACGATAGTATTCTAAAAGAACTTTTTTTCCCTTGGGAGAGTTAATCAGTCAGTTTAGTATACTATAAATCTTATGGTCTCTACTTTAAGCATTTAGTAATAGGGAAATTTCTATACTGCTATTTAAAGGAATGAAGTTTTTTTTTTTTTTTCTTTTTGTCTTTTTCGAAGTATTTTTTTTTAATTTATTTTATTTATTTAATCAAAATCGATTAGACATTTTTGGGGTTGAACATTGAGATATGTTGATTAAATCAATATTACTAGCATATATACTGTTACAAATCGTAATTATTCTTTATGCCCCTTATCTAACCTCTCCCCTTCCCCCATTCCCTCCCCATCCCCCCTCTAATTGCCCTAGATTTCTTCTCTCCTTCTGAAAGAATAATGGTTACTCTGTTAACTTGTTGCCTAGATGATCTGTCTAATGCTGAGAGATATGATCAGGTCCCCCAATATTATCATAGAGTAAATGCTTCTTCTGTCACTCTGAAATGGGTTTTGTGGAAAGAGATATCTTCTTCTTTTTCTCTGCTGGTGACTCTTTTTGTGTGAATGTACTCCAGTGGTTGGCGGACCATCTGCGTGGTGGCTGTGACATATAGCCGCTTTTGCAGCAGCCATAGTTATTGTGGTGGCTATGGTGGGCCACCCACGTGGGGGTGCTGTTTTTGGCATGCTCCTTGGCACTGGCAGTATGCCTGGTTGTAGGGTGTGTTTGGTCCCCTTCTCCATGCCTCTGGTCCCTTGGGCAAGCCCCAAGGTGCTGGCATAGTGTGCCTGGCTGTGGGAGGAGGGTCTGGTCCCCTTCTCCATGCCTCGGGTACCCAGGTGGGCCCCGAGGTGCTGGCATTTTGTGCCTGGTGTGGGAGGAGGGTCCAGTCCCCTTCTGTATGCCTCTGGGCTGGGCGGGCCCCGAGGTGCTGGCATGGTGTCACTGGTTGTGGGAGAGAGGTCCAGTCCCCTTCTCCTTGGCTCGGGTCCCTGGGTGGGCCCCAAGGTACTAGTGTGGTATGCCTTGGTGTGGGAGGAGGGTCTGGTTTCTGGCTCCGTGCCTTGGGTCACTGGATGGAACCCAAGGCGCTGGCTTGGTGGGCCTGGTTGTGGGAGAGAGATCCAGTCCCCTTCTCCATGCCTCAGGTCCCCAGGTGGGCCCTGAAGCGCTGGCGTGGTGTGCCTGGTTGTGGGAGAGAGATCCATTACCCTTCTCCTTGCCTTGGGTCCCCAGGCAGGCCCCAAGGTGCTGGCATGTTGTGCCTAATTGTGGGAGAGAGGACCATTCCCCTTCTCCTTGCCCCAGGTCCCTGGGTGGGTTATGAGGTGCTGGCATGTTGTGTCTGGTTGTGGGAGGGTGGTCTGATCCCCAACTCCATACCCCAGGTCCCTGGCAGAGCCCCAAGGCACTTGCTCAGTGTGCCTGGTTGTGGGAGAGAGGTCTGGTCCCCTTCTCCTTGCCTTGGGTCCCTGGGCAGGCTCCAAGGTGCTGGCGTGGTGTGCCTGGTTGTGGGAGGGGGGTCCAGTCCCCTTCTCCATGCTTCAGGTCCCCAGGCTGGCCCTGAGACACTGGTGCAGTTTGCCTGGAAGTGGGAGTGGGGTCCAGTCCCCAAATCCAAGCCTCCAGTTCCCAAGCAGACCGCAAGGTGCTGGTGGTGTGCCTGGGCCGGAACTAATTTTTTGTCCTTTGCTTCTAACATGGCAGAACTTCCTGTGGGAACCAGTACTTGAGCTGTGTGGTTGTTTAAATTGCTACTTTGCTGCTGTTTCCCTAGGAAAGGCTTTTTGTGCAGCTCAGGGTTTAATGGTTGACCTAATAGGTACTTCCGGCTTTCCAGAGACCCAGTGGATCTGTGTTCTGTAGAATGTCTGATTTGGGCCTGAGTTTTTTTCATCAAACTGTGCCCCATGCAATTCTGTATTCCTGACCAGTCTCCTCTGAGTGGTCCTGTGCTGACTGGGGGGCAGATCGGCTGTCCTTGCTGTGTCCCAGTGTTCCCCTGGTGGGCCCATCTCCCCCACCGCCTGTGCTGCAAACACTTCCCATGGGACGGGCCCTGTGCTGGTCCTTTGTGATGACTCACCGGTCTCTGAATGGCTCCTTTTTTCAGTTGTTCTGGCTCCTCGCTCCTGCGTGGGTCCACGTGAACCCTATTAGCGGTCTCGCTGTCCTGGGGGCTGCCAAGGCCCTCTTCTCTTTTGCTGCCTTCAAGTAACTCCATCTGAAGGGCACAACAGAGGCTTCTCCCGGCTCCTGCTCCATGCGCTTATCAGCTTGAGCCTTAAAGCAGCCGCGGCCCGAAATGCTCAGAGCAGCTTTTTCTTTCTCTCATCATAGTTTCTCCCGCCTTCATGAACTCCGTAGGTCTCTCCTCCTCCTTCCCTGAGCTCCAGCGGCTCCGGCTTGGCTGATGTTACATTTTTATAGTTGTAAATTTGGTTGATTTGTGGGAGAGAGTGACGCTGTGGACCGTCTATTCAGCCATCTTGATTGGATCTCATGAAGTATTTTTTTTAAGTACCTTGGGAAGTTAGAGAAAGATTGATTCAAATGCCTGCAGTTACTTTGGTGTAGTAATAGTAATGGCACAATTTAAAAGGACTTTGTATTCTCTTCCAGGTTGTATTTCTCGATATTCAGCAGGTAGTGTTTATTACTATCCCTCTTACCATCATCAGCACAATCCAGTCCAGGTACAGAAATTACAGAAGGAACTGCAAAGATACCTCACTCGGAAGATTGGCTTTGAGGCAGTCATGAGGATTAGGTGCACTAAAGGTGGGGACCTTTTTTTTTTTGGTGGTTGGCCAGTAGCGGGATCCAAACCTGTGACCCCCTTTTTTTTTTAACATGGTAGTAAATGTTGTTTTTGATACCAGTATACATGTTTCACCCAGTCTTGTCTTATAAGATTTGCTCTTCTAAAATACTTTGCTCATGGGCCAGCCTGTGGCTCACTCGGGAGAGTGCGGTGCTGATAACACCAAGGCCACGGGTTCGGATCCCTATATAGGGATGGCCGGTTTGCTCACTGGGTGAGTGTGGTGCTGACACCACCAAGTCAAGGGTTAAGGGGTTAAGATCGCCTTACCAGTCATGTGTTTTTTTGTTTGTTTTTTTTTTTGTTACCGGTAAGGGGATTGCAACCCTCGGCACAGTGTTGTCTGTACCATGCTCAGCCAGTGAGCGCACCGGCCATCGCTATTATAGGATCTGAACACATGGTCTCGGCGCTACCAGCGCACCCGAGTGAGCCATAGGGCTGGCCCCTTACTGGTCATCTTTAAAAAAATAATAATACTAAAATAAAATACTTTGTTCACTCTGATGGACTATGCAATTAAGGAAAAAACACTAACAGAAAAAAAGGCATTTTTGTGAAACCCTAAAAACCTCTGATTTGTATACTTTAAAATGGTGAATTTGAAGCTGGCTAATTAGCTCAGTTGGTTAGAGCATGGTTCTGATAACACCAATGTCTTGGATTCAATCCCTGTACCAGCCAACAATAACAACAAAAATAAACAAACAAATAAATAAAATGGTGAATTTTATGGTATGTGAATTATCTCAATTTAAAAAAAAAGACCACATCCCTGAAGAAAATAAAACATGTTACTGATAGATTTTTATTCCAGTTATGAGGGTACTTCAAAAAGTTCATGGAAAAATAGAATTAAAAGATATGAATCTTTCCATGAACTTTTGAAGTACTCTCATATTGAACAAGAGTAGCAGAAAGTCTTTTTTTTGGCAGCTAGCTAGTAAAGGAATCTGAATCCTTGACCTTGGTGTTGTAATACCATGCTCTAATTAACTAAGCTAACTGGCCAGCCCCTGAAGATCTTTCCTTTTAAGAAAAATTATTTTTATTTTTTTAAATTGCTGTAAGATATACATAACATTTACCATTTTAACTATTTTTAATTGTACAGTTCAATGGCATTGGGTACTTTCTCATTGTGCAACCATTGCAATCATCCATCTCCATAAGTGGGAAATCTTTTAATTTGTGATCTAATTCTTGGTTTTTCATTTCTCCACGTTATCAATCTGGTTCTAATTATTATTCAGATATTAAAATATTATTGCTCTATAAAGGGGTGTGAGGCAGTTATTTTTTAAGTAGGAAGACTAAATGAAATATGTAGCAAAAATTAAAAATAAGGCTCCACTAACCTGTCCTCTACATGTTGAAATCTAATAGTCAAACCATGTGCCACATGAAGTTTCTCTATTATCCATCACTGTAATAATGCAAACTTCTTGAATTCATTTATTAATTCTAATAGCTTTTTAGTGTTTTTGTTTTAAAGGACACTTTTGTTGGATCCTATTCATTCAGGATTGACAGACCTCAAAAATGTTTATTTCTGCAGATATTGGCTATACATTAGGGAAAAGTACATCTTGAAAGTGCTTTTAGGCACTCGGCAAGACGGAGGTTATTTTATATGTACCTTACTTTGCATAAAGAACTTGGGGATATGCCAATGAACTAGGCTTTCTTTTTTTTTTTGTCTTTTTTCCGTGTCCGGCAACGGATCGCAACCCTCAGTGTCGCCCCCATACCGGACTGGGACCGGCAACGGGATCGCACGAACCCTCGGCGGGAGCGCTGCCGCGCTTCCCAAGCGGCGCACTAGCACAGTGCACCACCGGGCCGGCCCTGAACTAGGCTTTCTAAAGTGCTTAATTTAATAAAGCTTTTTGGGTTAACTTGCTTAGGTATCTCTTTATTTTTTAACATTTATTTTATTACAAATAAAATACATACTCTTGGCAAAGCTAACAACAAAAAAGATAAAGTACAAAAAGTTATAAAGTGAGGGATCAAACATATGCCAGTATCCTCCCCTCCAAAGTTTTTTATATACCCTTCAAAAGTTTTCCCATGAATATATAAGCATATATTTTAGCCTTAACTTTAAATAAAAGCAGTAGGAAACACATCTAGCATTTTTTATCACAATGTCTTAGACACCTTTCTATTTTTGTATATACAGACCTGCATCCTTCTTTTTTTTTTGATTACTATATTAAAGGAGGTTTTTATTTCACAAGCAAAATATGCATCTATTCTTCTTGTAAAAAATAAAAACATTATTGCTAAAGCTGAAGTCCTCCTGTATCAATTTACGCATGTGTGTGTGCTCACACTTTCACTCCATCCTTATGTGGTTACTGTAACCACTTTGGCATATATCAGAAATTTCTGGGCTGGTCTGAAGGTTGTGAGTTATCTCAGTTGATTGTTCACCGTCAGTTACAGTTTGAACTCCTTGTTCTTCTCTTTCCCCACTTCTCTCTACTGAACTTGACAAGTCTTAAAAAAAATTACTTAGGTATTCCATGGAAAGCATATGGTAAGGTGTATTTGCATAAATAATAAATTGTACATATTTTTACTCAGTAAGTCTTGAAGATCAATTAATTTTAGCTCATATAAATCTATCTCGTTCTTTTTAACTTCTATCTAGTATTCAGTAGAATGGACAAATCACAATTTAGTTATTTTCCTACTGATAGCCATTGATGGCATTTCTGAAATTTTTTTGCTGTTACAAAAGGTCTCCTTAAAATTTTTTTGCACTTGTAAATTCTGCACTTGAATGAGTATATCTGTAGGATAAATTCTTAGATATGGGATTGCTAAGGTCAAATAAGTATTCATTTAGAATTTTGATAGATATTGTCAAATTATCCTTCAAAAATGTTTTTTGAAAATTTGTATCCCCACCTTCATATAAGAAGATACCTATTACCCCTCAACCTCACTAAGTACTGTGTATTATCTTTTTAACTTTTTTACTTTCTGCCAATCTAAGTGACTAGTATAAAACTTAAAATATCCATATGTAGGTATACATAAATCATTTTGATAATTTTTTCTTTTTAGGTCTTTCTATTCATACTTTCCATGGGAACTTCTTTGTTCGATCAACAGACTTATTGTCTTTGCCCAATGTCAACCCAGATGCTGGGTATGCAGTACAGATGTCTGTAGAAGAGAGTCTTACTGACACTCAGTTGGTTTCTTTTCAGTCAGCACTCTTGTATACATCCAGCAAAGGTAAGTTTTTGTTGGTTTGTTTTTATTGTGGTAAAAAACACATAAGATCTACTCTCTTAACAAATTTTTAAGTGTACAGTACAGTGTTGTTAAACTATAAGCACAATGTTGAAATAAAGGAAGTTTCTTGATGTGATTATATGTTCTCTGCCCATGATAAATTCCCTCTTATTTGGAGGTAATTAATTGTTCTGTTAAGCCAAAAGAGTATTCCTAATCATAAGAGCTTTATTGCTGTTCTTGGTAAAGTCAAGATGTTTGGCATTTATTTTCTTAAACCATTTTATTTATTCATTTTTTTAACAGATATTTATTGAGAGTCTACTGTGTATCAGACAGCCTGATACAAGAGTTAATAAATTTGAATTTTAAAAGTTCCTTTTCTCACAGACTTTCATTTTAGTAGGAGAAACAGATATTAAACAAGAAAAATGAGTAATAATAATAGTAGTGAAGGAGAAAAATAAAGCAGGTAAAGGGAAGAGGAAGTTCTGGATGGTTACTCTTTTACGATAGAGTTTCTAGGAAAGGCCTCACAGAGGTGACATTTGAGATAAGTTTTGAAGGAGCTTATAATGGAAGATAGGAAACACTTTTTAAGGCTGTGATTTGTTTGTTCCTAATTAATTTATAATTTCTGCTTTATCCTAAGGTGATGTAAAGGGATCACAATTAGTTCCATTACCCCAAACATCTTCCCTTGCTTTTGTGGTCAACACCTCTCCTTTCTTCAGCCCCTGGTAACCACTGATCTGTTTTCTTTTTTTTTTTTTTTTTTTTAATATGACTTGTAAGGGGATCTTAACCCTTGGCTTGGTGTTAGCACCATGCTCAGCCAGTGAGCTAATTGGCCATCCCTATATAGGATCCGAACCTGTGGCCTTGGTGTTATCAGCACCGTACTCTCCCAAGTGAGCCACGGGCCGGCCCCATGATCTGTTTTCTGACTATAGTTTTGCCCTTGTGGGAATGTCATAGAAATGGAATCATATAGTGCGTAGCCATTTGAATCTGGTTTCTTTTACATGGCGTAGTAGATGTGAGAGTCAATCATATGTTGCACCTATTAGTAGTTTGTTGCTTTTTATTCCTGAGTAGTATTCTGTTGTACCTAGTTTGTTTATTTACTTCCCAGTTGCGGAACATTTGGATTGTTTTCAACTTTCGGCATTTTCAAATATAGCCACTATACATATTTAGGTACAGGTTTTTTCATTTCACTTGGATAAATACCTAGGAGAGGGATTGCTAGGTTGTATGGTGTTTGACTTTATAACCACCAGCCAGACTGTTCTCCCAAGTGGCTATACCATTTTGCATCTCATCAGCAGTGTATGAGAGTTCTATCTGCTTGGCATCCTCACCAGCATTCTGCTATTATAGTTTGGTTTTTGGCATGAGGTTTTTTTTAATTTTCCTTTTCTTTTTCTTTTTTTTTTTTAAAGTGTGTAGTGGTTTTACTTCATGTTTCCCTAATAACTAATGTTGTACATCTTTTCATAAACTTATTTGATATTCTTATGTCTTCTTTGGTATTCAGATCTTTTCAGTTATTTTACTCTTGGTGGATAAATTTCTCTTTTGTTCTTGGCTTCCATGGATCACATTAGATGCCTGTATAGTTTTTGGTTTTATTGTTCAAGTACATTCTTTTTTTTAAAAGTGGATGATATAAAATAGTAATTTTCATATAATGAAAATGAAATATTGTTGAAATTTTTAAAATACAAAAAAAGGTATAAAATCTAATACTCAGTGTTTTTTTAAAATTGCAATTATGCTATGTAATTATGTAATCTGCTTTTTCACACTACTATGTAAACATTTCCTCATAGTCTTATATTTTCTTCAAAAACATGAGTTTTGAAAGTTGTAAGACATTCTACCATAATTTATTTATTAATTTCCTTATGGTTAGAAAGTTAGGTTGTTTCTAATGTTTTGCTTTTAAGAAAAATGTGATTATAATTTCTTTCCTTGTCCACAAATCTTTGTCATTTCCAAAAATTTCTCTAAGATGGATTCCTAGAAATGGGATAGTTTAACTGTTTAGAAGAATCTTGTTATTACCATATTGTTTTTCAGAAAGATTTTGTCTATTAGCATTTCCATCAAGTTGACCATTTCATTTCAGCCGCTGATTGTATGTGTGTGTGTAAATGTACGTGTGTAGTTAACTGCCAATATGATAAGCTAAACATTATATCCTTTTTTGTTTAGTTATCATCCGTGTTTTTATCTAGAATCAAAGCTCCGTAAATCATGTTACCTGTTTTTTTGCAGATGTATTTTAAAATACATCTTTAAATGTAGTAAGTAAGATATATCTTTAAAAGTAGTTTGGGGGCCAGCCCATGGCTCAATTGGGAGAGTGCAGTGCTGATAACACTAAGCCACGGGTTTGGATCCCTATATAGGGATGGCCGGTTAGCTCACTTTGGAGAGTGTGGTGCTGACAACACCAAGTCAAGGGTTAAGATCCCCTTACCGGTCATCTTTTAAAAAAAAAGAAAAAAAAGTAGTTTGTATGAGCTCCTTATATATACATTTCATTAGTTTTCCATGTGTCTGCTCAGGTTGTGGTGTGAGTAGCCTCTCTAGTTTTTTAACTTGTTTTTCTTTGGTGTATCAGGGTCTTGCTGACTAGAAATTTTTAAAGGGCTAACTTATTTGATGATTCTCAAAGGTTTTCTTTTGTTTCTTGTATTTATTGATTATTGTGGGTAATTACTGAAGAAAAACATTGTGACTATTATTCCATTTCTTTTTATTTTATTTTATTTTTTTTAAAAGATGACCAGTAAGGGGATCTTTACCCTTGGCATGGTGTTGTCAGCACCACGCTCAGCCAGTGAGCTAACCAGCCATCCCTATATAGGATCTGAACCCGTGGCCTTGGTGTTATCAGCACCACACTCTCCCGAGTGAGCCACTTTTTTTTTTTTTTTTTTTTTGTCTTTTTTGAGACCGGCCGCACCGAGCTCAGCCAGTGAGCGGTGACCGGCCATCCCCATATAGGATCCCAACCCACGGCGGGAGCATTGCTGCACTCCCAGCACCGCACTCTCCCGAGTGCACCACGGGCTCGGCCCCGGCCCTTTTAAATTTTTTTTTTCTGTGATTAAGGAGAAAATTATAAGATTTCTCTGGACTTCAAATGTCAAAACAGGCTGTAGAACACATATTGGGGCAGTGATGTTTTATACAAAGGAACTTCAGAAGGTTCAGGGAAAAATGTAATTAAAAGATAAAAATAAAAAATATAAACTTTATTTCTCAATATAACCTCTGTCAAGTTCAAGACACTTTTGAAAGCGATACCAGCCTTTTAGTTCATCCCTAAAGAACTGAGGTTCCTAGTAATTTAACTATGTGAATGCAGGTTTCATTACATTATTATGAAGAAAACTAGTTGCCCTTTAAAGATTTTTTAAGATTAGGAAACAAAAAGAAGTCAGAAGGAGCCAAATCGGGACTGTAAGGTGGATGCCTAATGATTTCCCATTGAAACTCCTGGAAAATTGCCCTTGTTTGATGAGAGGAATGATCAGGAGCATTGTCCTAGTGGACAAGGACTCTCTAGTAAAGCTTTCTTGGGCATTTTTCTGCTAAAGCTTTGGCTTACTTTCTCCAAACACTCTCATAATAAACAGATGTTATTCTTTGATCCTCCAGAAAGTCAACAAGCAAAATGCTTTGAGCATCCCAAAAAACTGTTGCCATGACCTTTTCTCTTGACCAGTCTGCTTTTGCTTTGACTGGACCATTTCCACCTCTTGGTAGTCATGGCTTTGATTGCTTTGTCTTTAGGATTGTACTGGTAAAGCTATGTTATAATTATATAAATTATAATATGAAATTATAAAAAATATAATATAAAATTATAATTATATAAATTATAATTATATAAAAAGCTATGTTATAAAGCATCTAATTCTTAGAAGAAATGCTTCAGGATCTTGATCTCACTTGTTTAAAATTTCCACTGAAACCTCTGTTCTTGTCTGCAGCTGATCTGGGCCTAAGAGTTTTTGTACCTATCGAGCAGAAAGTTTGCTCAACTGTAATTTTTCAGTCAGAATTGTGTAAGCCGAACCATTTGAGATGTATGTGGTGTTGGCTGTTGTTTCTGCTCTTAATCGTTGGTCCTCTTCAATTAGGGCATGAACAAGATTAATTTTTCTTCCCAAATTGATGTGGATGGTCTGTGGCTGTGGGCTTCATCTTCAAAATCATTTTGCTGCTTCTTAAAATGAGTTATTTATTTGTAAACTGCTAATTTCTTTGGTGCACTGCCCCCCTAAACTTTTTATAAAGCATCAATGATTTCACCATTTTTCCCTCCAGCTTTACCATAAATTTGATGTTTGTTCATGCTTCAATTTTAGCATAATTCATGTTGCTCTGATTGGGGCTCTTTTCAAACTGATGTCTTATCCTTCTCAGTGCCTCAAGTTCAGACATGTTATAACAAGTTAGTATGAGTTTATTTTGGTGCAAAAAAATTTCGAGATCCACGCATAGTTTTTTCATAATATTCATTTTCCATGAACTTTCTAAAGACCCCTCATAGGTATTAACTCAGAATTGTTACTACCAAAAAAAGTAAACTTAACGAAAAAGTTCAGAAAAGAGATTTTTTAAAGCTCGCATATTATCATCATGTGAATATAATCCCTGCTATCTATTAAATGAAAAGAATTTTATAATTAAAAAAATTTTTAAATAAATCTTTAGTTTTCACTCATTAAGGTTTTGATACTATTTCTGCTTACTATATAATTCTACTTGGTTCTAAATTAAAAAGAAGTGATTTTTCTAGCCAGTGACAGGATCCAACCCCCTGACCTTGGTGTTACAAGGCTGTGTTCTAACCAACTGAGCTAACTGGCCAGTCCTAAAAAGAACTAATTTTTTTTAAGTGACGCTAACATAAACTCTTTTTTATATAGCTGTCCCTTACTGTCATATGTGTGTTTTCCCCAAAGGTGAAAGAAGAATTCGTGTCCATACTTTGTGTTTGCCAGTAGTTTCAACTCTGAATGAAGTCTTTCTTGGAGCTGATGTTCAAGCAATTTCAGGATTATTGGCCAATATGGGTAAGAGTTGTTATCTCCCATTGTAAATATTTTGCAAATAACATTAGGCAAATCCACATAGCTTTGTTTTTCTTTAAATAATTAGCTTTACGTGATTCAGTGTTTTGGATTTTGTGCGTTCCTAGTAAGTAACTGTTTGAATGAAAAGATCTGCTGCGGGTATTCTTGTCTTTTTGTTTGTTTGTTTAAACAGCTTTACTGAGATATAATTACATACCAAACCACATCACCCATTTTAGTTATAGAATTCCATTGTTTTTAGTATATTTATAGAATTGCACATCCATCACATGATCTAATTTTAGAACATTTCTATCACCCCAAAAGAGAACCTCATGCCCATTAGCAGTTACTACCCACTTCTTCCTCTCTTCTTCACTGGCCTTAAACAACCACTGCATATTTGTCTACTTTGGACTTAAATAACCATATCTTATGTAATGGTTAATATTAGTGTTACCAGGGCCACTCAGCTCCTGGCTGAGGCTCCCCAAAATTTGTTACTGGGCACATAGGTCTGGCTGCCTGGCCCCTTTCAAAATAAACCACTCAAAAGTTAAATGTTGGTGAAAATAGAAATCAGCTTTTATTCAGGAATACCAGCAACCTGAGAAGAGATGTTAAGCTAACCCATCTCTCCAGTAAACCTAAAGGAGAATGGTCAGACTGAAGCCATCTCAAAGACTCAGATTTACTCAGGGGTATTTAAAGAGGGGCCTGAGGGAATGGAAGGTGGGAAATGAAAAGTAGGAGGGTAGGAGATGTGAGCCATGAGGGCTTCACGCAAGGTCCCAGGTGCAAAGTCTCGCCAAGAGTCCGTCTGGTTTCTACTCCCATGTTTGTTATCTCATGATCCTGCTAGAGGGATGGAATCAGCATAGCTTTATTGATGTCTTCCTTGGTTTCCCAGGGTCTGCAAGTTTGCAGCTTCAGACTGGATGGAAAACAACTTTACATTCATGTTAATAATGTGATCTTTCCACATAGCCAAAGTTTAAAATATCAAATAACCACAGGAAAAGAGGGAACTCAGAAATGCATGCTAAGAAAAAAAACTGTGTCTTTTTAATTTTTAATGGCTGCACCAGTACAGGGATCCGAACCTGTGACTGTAGTGTTATAAGGCTACACTCCAACCAACTGAGCTACCAGCCAGCCAGAACTGTGTCTTTTAAAAATGTGCCTATATTCTATGCTGTTTTGGGTCTTAATATGGCTTCAGTTCTGCTCACTCCGACATTAGTGCTTAGTAATGAGCTCTGTGGCATGGATTACAAGAGACAGCAGTGTACCATAAAGATCATTAGACTTGGAGTCATGGAATTTGGGGTTGAAAACCAGTTTGCTACCACACATGTTTACAGCCTTGCCCAAATCATGTGAACTAGCAGAAAACTTACTGATATCTTTGCCTATTTACTTCTATCTCAGATATAGTTGCCTTCTTAATTTTTTTGTCCCTTTTTCAAATATATAGAGCTTAACATCACTTTGATTCTTGCTGCCTTTCTCCTTCAGAGAAGACTTTCAGTGGGTCCATTTGCTTCAAACTCAAATCTGCCTATAGCAGGAGTAGTTACCCATTTTCTCAAACTTCTTATTGGGAAAATTTTTCTTTCATGGAGCCTGTTAAGAAAAATTCACCCCCACCTCAGTCTTTTATGTTGTTAAAAGCTGAAGATTGTGACCTAAGAAATTTGAGGGTGACTACCTTTATTTTATGTTTAAGTAATACTTTTTGGTAACAGTACGATCATTATTATCATTATGTTTATTGATAGCAAGAACTATCAGGCAGCTTTTGTGGATTTTTTTTTTTAATCTTCACAACAATTTTGTGAGTATTCTGCTACCATATTTGGTTGAGCCCAATAGGTGCATTTTTTTCACATTTTACCATCTTTAAAATTAGATATGTCTTCAGTTATTGAAGTCTTAGCATTACTGTTGACCAGGTAACAATATTCTTTATTCTTTCCTGTCTACGTGCAAATTTTGCATATAGCCATTAATAATATCCCTTCAGTGAATGTACTTTTGATACATGGATTGAGTTAGTTACACTTTGAGAAATCTTCAAGACAATTACACTGTTTTTAGTATTGAAAAAATTACTTGAATATGCAGCAATGCATATAAACAGAGTGGTATGATAGATGATAATAATTTGTCTAAGTAACTGTTTAAGAGCACTTTCTATAAGCATAAAATAAAAACTGTGTGATAAGAAAGCATTGTTAGGGCCGGCCCGTGGCTCACTTGGGAGAGTGTGGTGCTGATAACTCCAAGGCCACGGGTTCGGATCCCTATATAGGGATGGCTGGTTGGCTCACTTGGGAGAACGTGGTGCTTACAACACCAAGTCAAGGGTTAAGATCCCCTTACCGGTCATCTTTGGGAAAAAAAAAAAAAGCATTGTGTGTTCAATTGCAGCGCCCGTGGCTCACTTGGGAGAGTGGGGTGCTGATAACTCCAAGGCCACGGGTTCGGATCCCTATATAGGGATGGCTGGTTGGCTCACTTGGGAGAACGTGGTGCTTACAACACCAAGTCAAGGGTTAAGATCCCCTTACCGGTCATCTTTGGGAAAAAAAAAAAAAGCATTGTGTGTTCAATTGCAGCATTTTTTCTTTCTCATTGGTATATAAAGTATGTACAATTAATAGCACCTTAGATTATAATCAATAGCATCTTAGATTCCACATAGTATAGTTTTCCCATTCTATAGATAAGGAAACTGAGGCTCAGGAAGGTTAAGTTACTTGCCAAATTGTAATACAGTTAGGAAATAGCAGATTAGCATTTTGACAGAGGTTGGCTTGATTCTCCAGAGCATGCTTTTAACTGCTATATGTTTTGGCTCATTGTGTATGTAATAAATTTGACAGATACTTAGTATAGTTGTTAAAAATTATCTCTTGTATCCTTGATAGTAGCATAGCTGAACTTCTGTCTTATTTCTCTTTTGTCCCTACCTTCACCTCGATTAGCTGTTGACAGGTCCGTGACTTCCAGTCTGAGTGACGCTCGAGATGCTCTAGTGAATGCCGTCATCGACTCTCTTTCAGCTTACCGTTCTTCAGTCCTGAGTAACCAGCAGCCTGGACTCATGGTTCCTTTTTCTTTGCGGCTTTTTCCACTTTTTGTGTTGGCTCTCCTTAAGCAGGTAAGAAAAACAAAAACAGAAACTACCAGAGAGTGAAAACATCAAAAGCCAAAATTTTTATCCAGTGAGCCCCTAAACATTGTATAGATAACTTTATGCTGGTTAAATTTACTGAGGACAGGAACCTTACCTATTATTTGAACCTTGAAGGAATTTAAAAACCAAAGAAAGTTGTAAATAACTGATTTAAAGCAAGTGCCTTGTTCAAAAGAGATGCTCACTAAGTAACATACTCAGTAATGTTATCAAAAATTCAAATGATAATCAGTTTTCCAAAACAAGAATTGCATATTTTATTGCTGGCCCAAGAAGGCACACATGCACTGCATGTTCTCACTAATATGTGGAAGCTAAAAAAATCAAACATTTGTAAGCAGAGAACAGAATGATGGTTACCAGAGGCTGGGGAATGAGGAGAATGGGGAGATGTTGGTCAAAGGATACAGTGTTTCAGTTAGACAGGAGGAATAAATGATATTTATTTGAGGTGACAGATATGTTAATTAGCTTGTTTCAATCATTCCACATTGTATACTTTATCATAGCATCAGTTTGTAACCCATAAATATATACAACTATAATTTGTCACCAATAAAATGAATAAATAAATTTTAAAAAAGAAAAGAAAGCATTAGAGCATGGTGCTGATAACACTAAGGTCCAGGGTTCAATCTAGCTAGCTGCCAAAACAAAACATAACAAAAAAAACACACAAAAACCCAGCAAGTGTGACTTTTTTTGACTCTTTCCTGCTCCCTATAGTATTTCAGCTACATTACACTTTTAATCTTCTTTAGATATGCTTTCTCATACCTGTGTACCTATTTCCATGGCCTGGACTGCACTTCTGTATCCTTGTCTTTGAGCTCAAATGTTATCTCTCTGACAGCTGCATGTCTCCCCTGCCTGATCTTTGCCCCTACCCCTTCCTCCCTTAAAAGAAAGAAAATTCGGAGCTGGTAGAGTAGACTTATTTATCCAGTGTCCAAAATTTAATGCGTAAGGATAGGGCCGGCCCGTGGCTCACTCGGTAGAGTGCGGTGCTAATAACACCAAGGCCCCGGGTTCGGATCCCACATAGGGATGGCCGGTTCGCTCACTGGCTGAGCGTGGTGCTGACAAAATTTAATGCATAAGCTTATAGACCTGGGGTAACTTTCCCTTATAAAATTTTATTTAAAAGCTCCTGTTAATAAAGCACCTGAGCTGGCCTGTTAGCTCAGTTGGTTAGAGCATGGTGTTGATAACGCCAAGGTCCAGGGTTCGATCCCTGTTACTAACAGTAACCAAAATAAGTAAATAAATAAAGCACCTGAGGAAGAATCTCAGATTCCAGAACTAATCAAGAATTGCTCTGGATCTTGTTAATCTCTATATTTTTCTGAACTCCAGGATCTATCTGTCTCTTCCAAATGAGAAGAGCAACCGGCTACTACCTAATAGGAATGGTTTTTGAATTTACAGTTCGAGTTTCTTTAACTCAAATTATATATTTTCATTTCTGAATAGAAGAGTACAGAGATTACATAAATATTTAGATTTTAACATTTAAAAATCTGAGCTCTTTTATGAAATGCTATCAAGTCTTTTCTCAAATGCCATCTTTTCTCTAAGGCTTGCCTTCCCTAGTCTCCTCTGTTTAGTATGCAACATTCTCACCCCACACCACCCTGTGACACCATTTAGCTCTCTTCTGTATTTTTTCCATAGTATTTATCACTGACATACCACATATTTTGCTTATTTTTTATTTATTTGTCCTCTAATAGGAAGTAAGCTCCAAGAGGACATGGAACTTTTTTCATTCTCTACTTTGTCCCAGCACCTAGAATATTTCCTCATATATAATAGACACTCAGTAAATACTTCTTAAATGAATAGATGGAACTTTCCTTTCTCCATTTCTTTTTTTTTTTTTTCCTGTCTTTTTTTGTGACCGGTAACGGGATCTCAACCCTCGGTGTCGCGCCCGTACCGGGGACCAGCAACGGGATCGCAACCCTCGGTGTCGAGCCCGTACCGTGCTCAACCAGTGAGCGGACTGGTCTCTATATGGGATCCGAACCCTCAGTGGGAGCGCTGCTGCGCTCCCAAGCGCCGCACTCTACCAAGTGCGCCACCGGGCTGGCCCTCCTTTCTCCATTTCTCATAATACTCTTTCCTCACTCTTAATGACTATCCACATACCAACTTTTAAAAAATCTTAAGAGCCTTTTCTAATCTTCCTTTATTTGTAGTCAGTGTATTTGCTTTAATGCATCATTTCATTGCTGTTCTCTCTGTTTCTCTTTTACTCCTTTTTGTCATTTAGAATACTTAAAACCTTATCATAAAGCTAATATACTGGTTAAATCTCACAATTACTTATTAACTGTATTCTACTAAGTAGCCGACCTCATTTGTGTTATTTTCATTGCTGATTTGTAAGCTTTGTTAGATTGTTAATTTCTCTAACTGTAGGAGAAACAATGAAAGCCACCATTAATTATCACGCAGCATTTATAGAACACTTAGTGGATATCTTTTTGGTCTTTCATATGTGCCTTTATTTTGTCATCCACAATATAACTTTATCCTTCCCATGGTGTTGCTTAGGTTGTTACATCACTGTCTCTATATGGGAGAGTGTTTAGATATATTTTACTAATTAGGAAATAGACACAAGGGAGATGAAATAACTTTGCCATTGTTAGTTAATTAACTTGTCAAGCCTTTTAGATGGGGCTACAGCCACAATTTAATAGATGTGTATGACTTCTTAAAATAGTTTTGTAAAGAATAATTAACAGTAAGTTTGTGAATTCTGTCTGAAGATACTTTAACATATGACATTTACAAAGGTCTATATTGTATGTATTTTTTAAATACCTTTTTGGGGGGGATGGGTTTTTTTCTTTTTTTACAGAAATCATTCCAGACTGGGACAAATGCACGGCTAGATGAACGCATTTTTGCTATGTGTCAAGTGAAAAATCAGCCCTTGGTTTACCTTATGCTCACAACTCATCCCAATTTGTACAGAGTCGACAATCTCTCAGATGAGGTAAGATTGATTCTTTTTTTTTTAGTGTCTTTTACTTGAAAGTTTATAGGCCTAATCATATTCAGTCCAGTGCAGGAATGAGGAATGGTTTGCTAGTTTTTTAAAGCTTTATATTTTACTTCCTTGCTAGGTTTGTGTAAAGAAATTTAGGCTTAGGGAAACTCCTAAAAATAGTGCTTTTATTTAAGTTTCCTTAAACAAACTTCTAGAGCAGATTTAAGAATTAAGGATATTATCAAATTCACCAGAGCTATCTATTATATATTTATTTAAGCAAATTGATCCAAAAGGAGTATCCTGAGAGTGAAATTACATCTGAACATCTTATGCCAATTTTCAGTATAACAGTGTCCTTGAATTAAATAAAAAAGATTTATCTAAGTTGTAACATTATTTGCCTTTGATAGGAAATTTACCAGAGTTAACGTCATAAGCATGAAAATGTTAAATCATAAGCCTTCTATAATTGTGATCAAGTTATTAAGATATATGAGGGTACTTCAAAAAGTTCATGGAAAAATAGAATTAAAAGATAATATGGGGCCAGCCTGTGGCTCACTTGGGAGAGTATGGTGCTGATAACACCAAGGCCACGGGTTTGGATCCCTACATAGGGATGGCCAGTTCACTCACTTGGTAGAGCGTGGTGCTGACACCACCAAGTCAAGGATTAAGATCCCCTTACCACTCATCTTTAAAAGAAAAAAAAAAGATAATATGAATCTTTCCATGAGCTTTGTGAAGTACCCTTGTATATGTTGGAACTAATGTTTTGGTTAAAAATCTTTTAAAGTTAAAAAAAATTTTTTTTTTTTTTTTTTTGTCTTTTTCGTGACTGGTAAGGGGATCGCAACCCTTGGTGTGGTGTCGCCCGCACCACGCTCAGCCAGTGAGTGCACCGGCCATTCCTATATAGGATCCGAACCCGCGGCGGGAGAGTCTCCTGAGTGTGCCACGGGGGCCCCCAAATTTTTTTTAATTAATTTTTTTTTCTTGTTTTTTGGGTTGGGGGGTGGTTGGCTGGTATGGGGAACCAAACCCTCCACCTTGGTGTTACAAGGTCACGCTCTAACCAAATGAGCTAACTGGCCAGCCCAAAGTTAAAAATATTGGAAGTTATCTTGCATATGTAAAGGAGAAGATGCCTATAAAATTTGAGGTGACTTTTTAGCAAAGGAAAACTTTTGATAACATTATTAGTTTGTATTGCAAAAATAATAACTCTAGATTAATTTTTTTTGGCAAGTTCAATTAACTCGATTTACCTGTTCCTCACATTAAAAAATAACAACAAGGTTGACCAGTCAGCTCAGTTGGTTAAAGCATGGTGTTATAATACCAAGGTCAAGGGTTTGAATCCGTATACTGGCCAGCCACCCAAAAAAAAGAAAAAAAAAAAATATATATATATATATATATATATATACACATATATAAGAAATTAACATAAATGTAATATATTGTATGTCTATAATATGGAGAGAACCATAAATAAGAAGAAAAATCACTTATAATACTTTCATCAAAAACAAGCACTATTGGGCTGGCCCGTGGCTCACTCAGTAGAGTGCGGTGCTGATAACACCAAGGCTGCGGGTTCGGATCCTATATAGGGATGGCCGGTTTGCTCACTGACTGAGCGTGGTGCTGACAACACCAAGCCAAGGGTTGAGATCCCCTTACCGGTCATCTTTAAAAAAAAAAAAACAAAAAAACAAGCACTATTAACAAATCGGTGGTATATTTATCCAGGACCCTTTTGACTGCAAGGAAATTTAGGCAGAAAAGGGGACTGAAATGACACTCAAAAACAAACCACAGGGGGTTCACCAGTTAGCTCAGTTGGTTAGAGCATGGTGCTGATAACACCAAGGTCCAGGGTTCGACCCCTGTACTGGCCAGCTGCCAATAACAACCAAAAAAAAAAACCATTGGAAAGGCATGGGTAGAGCACGACTCAGAATCTACTAGAACCTAGGATTCAAAGAAGCTCTTTGCATGAGTTACATTCTTTGTGATCAGCCTTCTCTGCAAGACTGGAACACCGAGCAACAGATAGCTTCTCTTCATTACCATCTGAGAAAGACAGCTCTCTTAGTTCTCATTAGAAAACCTCTAGGGGAATTTCTGATTGATTTTATTTAGGTTATAGTGACTCTTCTGCTTCCCACATTTCCCGAGGGCAGAGGTCTTAAAGTAATATGATTAATAGCCCTTAGAGTCAAAGACTCCTCACTGAAATGAAATGAACAGGTCTCTCAAACAATAGGGAATGCAGAAAGGAGGGATGCAGAAAGCACAGAGCAAAAAATAACTTCTACAGGTATACATTCCTCTTTCCTTTACTTTCCATGCTTAGTTTTGTTTGCTTTACTTCATTGTGGTTATACAGTTTGAATCCTGATGTTTTTGTAGTTTTGAACATTAAATGCATTATTGTATGTAAAGCTCTTAGAACAATGCCTGGCTATGATAGACACACCACATAAACTGTAAATAGCTATTATCATCACCACCACCATTGTTAGCATCATCATCTTCATTATTATTATTGTAATTAAGCATATTTCCATGCATATAAGCATTCATTTAAAACATACATTTTAATGACATAATAAATTCATTAGAGCATTTTACTATTTTTAGATGTATACACCGTTTCCAATTTTAACCATCTATATTCACATAACATAAACATCCCTTGGCTGTACTCTTTGGTAGGTCTGTGTTTTACTTCCTCCCTTGGGTAAGATTTAATTAAGTACCTAGTTTAAGTAGTTAAATTTATTTTTGGTCAAAATGAATAGTTATGAATGTTGAAAGATTTGTGTTTGTGCTTTTTTTTTTTCCAGATAACAGCATTCTAGTCAATTATAAATGAGAAACTTCCATTTCTGGCTTTATTAAATAAATTTGAAATTAAAGAAAACTATTAAAATCTCATTTCAGTTAGGCTTTTTTCCCCCTCCTTTAGGATGTGCCCATGACCCAAGCCAAACAATCAGGTCCAATCAGAGCCAATTTGGAGATTTCTGATTAAATTTTGAAAGAGAGATACTAGTTTTTTTTTTCTCTCTCTCTCTAATAAACTTTGTATTTTGGAATTATTTTAGATTTCAAGATAAGTTACAAATATAGTACAGAAAGTTTTCGTATACCATTCACCCAGTTTTTCCCTAATGTTAAAATTTTACATAACTATGGTACATTTGTAAAAATCAAGAAACCAACATTGGTACTTTATTAGTAACTAAATTCCAGAACTTATTTGGATTTCACCAATGTCATTTACCTGTTTAGAATACAGCATTCTATTTATTACATTATTACATCCATTTTAAAACAATAGTTAAGATCAGGGCTGGCTAATTAGTTCAATTGGTTAGAGCAGTGTTATAACACCAAGGTCAAGGGTTAGGACCCCCATACTAGCCAGCCACAAAAAAAATAAATAATTAAGATCAGAAGTTAATTTGGCTTTACTGGGATTCACAGTGGCTCTATTTAGATAAGTGATACATATTTTTTTTATCTTCTTTATATTTAAATATGAATAATTGTGATTTTCCTAAGTAAGGTCTAAACTCTTGGAGGTATTCATTTAATTTTTGTTGTTGTTATTTAATTGTGACTGCATATTACCTGTATCTAAAAGTTTTAATCTTTTGTTCAATTCCTCAGGGAGCACTCAACATCAATGATAGAACCATACCTCAACCCCCTATTCTTCAGCTTTCAGTGGAAAAGCTGAGCAGAGATGGAGCTTTCCTCATGGATGCAGGCTCTGTGAGTAGTTTGACTCATCCCGACCCTTCACACTGCATACCACTGAGCCTTTTCAGCATTTGCATTCATTCACCTTAATATCTCTCTTTATCTCTTCCTGAACAGACTGTGTACTCATTAACCTACATATATTTGTATTAGCTACCATCTCCCTCCACACCATTCTTGTTTTGTACCGAGCATAAAATGTCTCATAATGGTAAAGTTCAGTTAAAGGCTGTACAATCTCACTAAATATACTTATCCTTTTTATAATTAAAATTTTTAAAAATTTTCTGGTAAATTTCATCTGGAAAAAATGAAAACCTAATTATCCTTTTGATCTTTTAAAACATAGGAGTAGAAAAGGTTAATCAATAGATTGACTGTTGATGCTACATCTCAAAATAATTTTATTTCTGTCCCCAGGTACTGACGCTTTGGGTTGGAAAAAATTGTGCACAAAATTTTCTCAGCCAGGTTCTAGGAGTTCAAAACTATGCATCAATTCCACAGACTATGGTAAGACTCTTTTATTATAGCGATTACAATACACTTAAAGAGCTTTTCAAAGGTGACAAAAACATGAATATCCATTTTGAAATTAGAAAATACTGGGCCGAGCCCGTGGCGCACTCGGGAGAGTGCAGCACTGAGAGTGCAGCAGCGCGCCCTCCGGGGGTTCGGATTCTATATAGAGATGACCGGTGCGCTCACAGCGCTCACTGGCTGAGCACGGTGCAGCCGGTCTCAAAAAGGACCAAAAAAAAAAAAAAAAGAAATTAGAAAATACTACTAAAAATTTTATCAAAAGAGAATGGATTATATATGTTTCAAATGAAAATACTCATGCTTTAATGGCATTCTTTTTTTTTTTTTCCTTTTTGTCTTTTTTCGTGACCGGTAACAGGATCGCAACCCTTGGTGTTGCGCCCGCACCGTGCTCAACCAATGAGCGGACCGGTCTCTATATGGGATCCGAACCCTCAGCGGGAGCACCGCCATGCTCCCAAGTACCGCACTCTACCGAGTGCGCCACCAGGCCGGCCCTTAATGGCATTCTTTAGGTCACTTTGTATCATCAATTTACCTGTTCTTATGTGTCTAAGACAGTATACTATTTTGGGGAGAAAGAAATGAATTTAGTTAATGACAAAAAAAAATAGTTTGTTCCAAATGGCATTAATTTTGTGACTTCTTTGTTTTTGAGTTTTTCGCAAATGATTTCTTGTTCTTTGCAAATGATTTCTTGTTCTTTGGCAGGGTCTTTTATTTTTATTTATTTATTTATTTATTTGGTGGCTGGCTAGTATGGGGATTTGAACCCTTCCCTGGTGTCAGCACCACACTCTCCCAAGTAGCAGGGTCTTTTAAACTGCTGCTTTGGAGTAAGAACTAAACTAATTACCACACTAGTGTAACTAGTGACAGGTGGTTAGTGTCAGCTGAATTAATACTGATTACTGAATAAAGTAGTAATGGACTCTGTCTATACTAGCTGTGTGATCTTAGACAAGTCACTAAGTAACTTCACTTGTAAAATAAGAATGCTGTTGCTTATGGAGGAGTAATTGAAATAATCCATGAGAAAGTACTTGTTAAACTATATAGCATTTGGAGAGTTTAGAATTATGAAGTTAGAATTAATGATAATAAATAGATGCTCTTATTTAGTGTCATATTTTTCAGTCCCTACTATCAGTTTGTATCCGACTTTGGAATATGTGTTTTATTTCATCACTTTTTCATATTGATGGGTTCTACGACTCCACTCATAAAAGCCATTAGGGTATTTATTTATTAAAAGACGTACAAGGGTACTTCAAAAAGTTTGTGGAAAAATGGAATTAAAAGATTTTTTTTAAAAAAAAGATGAATCTTTACATGAATTTTTTTTTTTTTCCAGCTAGCTGGTACAGGGAAAGAACCCGGGACCTTGGTGTTAACCAATACCACGCTCTAAACAACTGAGCTAACTGGCCAGCCCTCCATTAAATTTTTGAAGTGCCTTGTATGTCAGGATTATAGCTAGGATTATCCTAGCTTTCAGACTTTGAGCAAAACTACTGGACTGGATGACTAAACATTTTAAGTAATTAAGAAATAAGACATTGTCTTATTTGTAATAACCACCTAAATGAATCAATTAATTCTCTATGTCATAATAAAAAGAGAAGAGCTAGGAGATTCTTCTAGATCAGGGCTCAGCAAACTATGCCCAAGGGGCACCTGCCACCTGTTTTTGTAAATAAGGTTTTACAGCAGCATAACCATGCCCATTCACTTATGTACTGCCTATGGCTACTTTAGTGTAACAACAGCAGAATCGAATAGTTGAAACAAAGACCAGATAACCTGTAAGCCTAAAGTATTTACTACTAGGTCCTTTAAGAAGTTTGCCTTTTCCTGTTCTGGTTTCTTACTAGAAAATTGTGGTCCCCAGTCAAGTAGCATTGGCATAACCTGGGAGTTTGTTAGGAATGCAGAATCTCAGGCCCTTCATTAGACCTCCCAAATCAATATCTGTGGTTCAACAAGATCAGCAGGTGATTCACATACATGTTAAAATTTGAGAAGTACTGTAGACCATATGAAAGGTGTATTATTAGAGTGAGTTGGATATTGTTGGTTTTGTTTAACAGACAGATCTTCCAGAACTTGATACACCAGAATCTGCCAGAACAATAGCTTTCATCTCTTGGCTTAGAGAGCAGAGACCATTTTTCCCAATACTTTATGTAATAAGGTAAGTTGAATTTGCCATTTGCTAGTAGTGAAACAATTTGTTTGGCCTTGTGATGAGTTGTTTTGAATCATAGATATATGTGACCTAATGCTTTAGCAAGCCTTTTATAAGAATACAGGGAAAAAAATGAAAAATAATTCTTCTCAATAAATAGTACTAAATTATGCTTTATGTTTAATTATTGGGATTACTAAACTTTTTTTTTTTAAAAGATGACTGGTAAGGGGATCTTAACCCTTGACTTGGTGTTGTCAGCACCATGCTCTCCCAAGTGAGCCAACCGGCCATCCCTATACAGGGATCCGAACCCGTGGCATTGGTGTTATCAGCACCACATTCTCCCGAGTGAGCACAGGCCGGCCCTAGAATTACTAAACTTTTAATGAACTTGTTAATAAAAAGCTTAACTAGGGTTGGCCAGTTAGCTCAGTTGGTTAGAGTGTGGTGTAGTAACAATCGAGGTCAAGGGTTTAGATCCCTGTCCTGGCCAAACGCCAAAAAAAAACCAAAAACAAGCTTAACTGTTGCTCTTTTCTTAGTTTTCTTCTATTTTTAACTTACAAATAATAATTGTATATACTTATGGGTACAATGTCATGTTTCAATATGTATACATTGTGGAATGATCAAGTGAGGCTAATTAACATATCCATCACCTTAGATACTTATTTTTTTGTGGTGAGAACATTTAAAATTCATTCTTAGCTATTTTGAAATATACACTACATTATTATTAACTGTAGTCACCATGCCGTGTAAGAGATCACTAGAACTTATTTTTCCTATCTGAAACTGTACTCTTTGACCAATATACCCCTTTCCTCATTTACATACCCCCAACCACCATTCTACCCTCTATTTCTATGAGTTCAGTTTTTTTAGATTCCACGTACAAGTGAGATCATGCAATATTTGTCTCTGTGCCTAGCTTATTTCACTTAGTGTAATGTCCTCTATATCCATCCACATTGTCACAAATTATTGAATTTCCTGGTTTTTAAAGGCCTAATACTATTTTATCATGTATATATACCACATTTTAAAAATCCATTTGTCTATTGATGGATTGTTTCCATATCTTGGCTATTGTGAATAATGCTGCAATGAGTGCAGACATCTCTTTGACATACAGTAGTTTCCCCCCTTATCCGGGGGGGATATGTTCCAACACCCCCAGGGGATACCTGAAACTGCAGGTAGTTCTGAACCTTATATATACTGTGTTTTCTCCTGTACATACAGTCGTGCATCACTTGATGAAGGGGTTTCATTCTAAGAAATGTGTCATTTGGGCTATTTTGTCATACAAAAGTATATTATGAAAGGAAACATCAGTGAATTTTCCTATTATCTACACTGGCCACTAATTGCATGAGCATGGGCCCTCTGTGATACTAAGTCTCTGTTAAATGGGGATTAGAATAATACTACCCCCACAAAGTTATGAAAATGAAATTATAGGTAAGAATCGTGCGTGGCACTCAGCAAATACTAAGTGAGTGTTAGCTAACTGTTATTAGCTATGATTTTCCTGTGGGGATGGGTGGGAATCATTTTAAAATGCAAGAATTCTTAAGTAGACAGTGACAATTCACTTGGTATCAGACCTCTTGTGTCAAATGCTTGGCTTTCTATCTTAAAGGTCTGAGCTGCCTTTGGGAGGGTCACCCTGTGGGTAAGCTAGACTCCTCCTCAACATATTGTGCAGTAGGTTTGTTTACATCAGAATCACCACAAACATGTGAGCAACGTGTTGTGATAGGACATTACAATGGCTGTGACTTCATTAGGCAATAGAAATGTTTTGACTCCATTATAATCTTTTTTTATTTTTATTTTTTGGTGGCTGGTCAGTACAGGGATCTGAACCCTTGACTCTGGTGTTACAACACCACGCTGTAACCAACTGAACTAACCAGCCACTGTAGTCTTAGGGAACCACCACAGTATATGTGGTCCATTGTTGACTGAAATGTTGTTATGCCGCATATGACTATACCTATGATGAAGTCTAACTAATAAATTAGGCACAGTAAGAGAGTAACATAGATAACTAATAATAAAATAGTACAATTATAACAATATGCCAGCATCACTACTCTTGTGCGTTGGGGCCATTATTAGGTAAAATCAGGGTTACTTGAACACAAGCACTGTGATACTGCACCGTTGATCTGATAACAAGGTGGGCTGCTAAGTGACTAACTGGCAGGGAGCTTACACAGCATAGACGCACTGGACAAAGGGATGGCTCACATCCCAGGCAGGATGATGCAAGGTTTCATCATGCTACTCAGAATGGAGTGTAATTTAAGACTTATGAATGAATTATTTCTGGAATTTTCCTTTTAAATTTTCAGACTATGGTTAACTGTGGGTAACTGAAATTGCAGATAAGGGAAGACTACTGTACTCAGTTTAATTCCTTTGGATATATACCCAGAAATGGAATTGCTGGATTAACTATTTCTCTTAATTCCACTATAAACTTTTCCCTCTATCAGCACCATGCTCTAACCAACTGAGTAACCAACCAACTTACAAACTTTTCCTTCTAAACAACATGAAGTTTACATAATCAACCAAATATTTTCAGAGGAAGCCTATAGAAGGAGCTATTTGTGTGGTAAATGTTATAGTTATCAGAGTAAGTCAAAAGCCTCTTGAAAAATCAACTGTTTATTTTACTATTACATGTTATCTAATGTATATAAATATTTTTGCCTTCTATTTCTAAGGGATGAGAGTCCAATGAAAGCAAACTTCCTTCAAAACATGGTAGAAGACAGAACAGAATCTGCATTATCATATTATGAATTCCTCTTGCACATACAGCAACAAGTGAATAAATGAACAAATGAAGAAATTTGGCTTAGTTATTTCTAAGGAAAGTCATGATAAGGCAGAATATCTGGGAATATATAACACCTTCCTTTTCTAGTAAGTTTGTGGACTTACGTGATGATTAAGATGTTCTCACTGTGATTTCAACAAACTATGGCAAATAAAGGACCAGAGCAGAGAATCAAACATACAACTCTGAAATACTGTATTTTTCAAATCAAAATATATCTATATATGATTGGATACCTTTTTCCTTTGCTGCCAATTATGTTTGAGTTGTTATGGATTGAAACAAGACAAGACAATATTGCAGAGGCAAAGTACATTTTGTAAAATAAAGAGAATTCTGTGTTCCACATGTATATTTCTCATTTTTGATTTTTCTGAATATTTGGCTGCTACATTTAAAACCTCACAAGACTAAGCGTTGCAGGGAAGTTACAAATCCATTGGTAATGATATTTTTAAAAATCAAAAAAATTCAGAAGTAAATAGAATGTAGAAAAACTAGGAGTAATACCCCGTACCCACTTTTTTTTCCCTTTTTTAAGGAAGAAAAAGGATCATCATGTTAACTAAAACTAGAGTAAACTAACTAGTCTAGCTTGAGAAGAATATGAAGTAATGCATTTAAGCTTTAAAATCAGACAGTATTCTTTATACTTGAAGAATAAAGTCACTTTGACTTGAAGTGAAAACTATAATTAGGTGGTTTTCTGATTTGGCTGAGGAAGACTTGGACATCCTGTCTTACTCTGCAGTACAAAGAATTTGAGCTGTCTTTATAAATATATTGGGACTGGTGATGATAATAGGGAGATAAGAAACTTTAGTTATCTTGATCCTTTAAGTGGGTTTTTGTTGGGTACACTTCTGCTCTGTGATGTATAATAAAAGTGTTAATTTGGTGAAATGAGGGTGAATGAAAGAAAGATTTCTTAAATGGTATCTTAAATGTATCAGCAACATTTTCCTAAGGAGTTTAATAATTAAATTGGAAGCCACTCATAAGAAATATTTATTCTTGGATATTAAAACCCATTAAAGCATGAATGCTGCTATTTGATTTAGTGGATATTAACATTTAACAAATTCAATATATTGATGTTCTGAAAGACTTGATTTCTGAACATGCTCAAGAGACTGCTTTTTTGATTCAGCTCAAGAAATATTGTCAAAACTATTGAGCAAATTTTGTTTACAAATAGGTAAATTACACATCTGTGTATTTAAAGTGCTGTGATATATCTCTAAAAGAGTTTGGCTCAGTTTTCACAGATTCATCTTGTCTTGAATGAACTTCTTATAAGATGTTCATGTCTTATACTTGATGAAAAGATTTTTGGTTTTTTGTTTTAATGGGTTAGAAAATGTGTTTACAATCTTGGTCTCATATGATCACCAATGAAATAGTAACTTTCAGGTTTACATCAATATGAGCTGATTTTAACTAAGTTGCTTGGGATAGGGAAGAAGCAGGTCCCTCTAGACTACAACTACTTCCAGCTGGATCAGGATAATCATGTTTTATAAAAATATCATCTCCCTTAAACAGTGTTAAAGTTTGTTTTCAGTGTGCAAGTGGTACGTTGAACTGGAAGTTTTCTTGAAAGCTGCTTCATTTATTTGAAGAAATTTTCAAATTGTAGTAAATTAAAATAAATTTATATTTCCCCCTATTTTAAAGAAAGAGTCATTATGTACTTCTTTTGAGAAACATCAGTACATAACTAAATCTTCTTAATGTGACTTAAATGTTGGTATTTGTAGGTCCTTTCTTAATAATAGTAAAGAATCTTCCAGAGGGAAACATTTGTGCTTCTAGGGATAATCTTCTTTGTGCCTCACTACATCCCTAAGTGGATATGACTCTTGTTATTACCACATGCTTTGTTAGTATATTTCACAAATTTAGTTTTAAAAATTTTACTTTAAAAAATTGTTTTAGATATTGTATAACATGTGCAATCCAGAATAATTTTATAACAGGTCATAAAAACATAACTTTAGTTAGGATTCACAGTATTTGTTCTCTAGATAACGGGAGAATGAATGAGCCTTTTCGGGATATTGATATAAAACAATTATTTTTTGCAATATTGAATGTGTTTTCTAGTTTGATTTTTTTTTTTTTTTTTTTTTTTTT